ATCAGCCAGGTCCTTGGTAGACTCCAGTGTCTTACAAGCCTGTCAAGTCCCTGGAACCTCTTGCCTGTCCGGGATCCCCATCCTGCCCACCTTAAAGATTTATGGTGAGCTGGGCCTCTCTGTCAGGGAAATAAACATGTTGGAGAGAGCAAGCAGAGGACAGCTCCACAGGGGCAAGGAGGGGGCCAGAGTTGAGGTTCCCTTGTCCACCCCCTGAAACTTCAGAAGGCCACCTGAGATGTCAAATGGACTCACACCCCGGTAGGCAGAAGGACCAATGCCTTTCCACCTGGGAAGTCCCTGTTCTTAGGGAGCAGGAGAGCCTGGGCTCCGTCTGCACATCCCTGGGCCTCAGAAGGTCTGGGAAATAAAGGTGCTAGGATGAAAATGGTGAGGTAAATGGAGTTACTTATCTGAAAGGGTAGCCTGCACGGCACGCCAGGCCCCGTGGGCAGCACGGTAAATAATGCCCCTTTTTGGCAGGTGCTTGGTAAGAACTTCCTGATGCCAGATCTTGGGGCTCTGAGGCATCAGCCTAGGCAGGTGCCTCGTGGTCTCTCCTGCTCCTGTCATCAGTGTGGGCCATAAGGCTGGGGAAAGGCTCACTCCCTCCTGCTCTCCAGGGATGTGCTCTTTCTGGCGCTTTGGTTCAATGGACCCTCAAGGATGTTCCAAAACATTCTTTCCTTTTCTCACCGTGCCTCTCTCCCTCCCTCTTCCCTTTTCCTTCTGCTTTTCCTATGCTGCAGATGGATTGTGGGGCCTTGTACACACTAGGCTAGTGTTCTACCACGAAGCTCATGGCTGGCTTGGCTTAGCTCCTAGGTCCTGAAGCCCCCGGCTGGCCTAACCCTGCCTTGGAGGACATAAAAGAGGAGCAGAACCCTAAGGACAGCTGCCTTCCCAGGTCATACCGTTTTTCCTGTCCCCACCAAGGAAAATAGTGGCCTTGGATAGTAGCCTGTGATTTTAAGGATGACTTAACTTCTGCACAGACCCCTGTAATTCATCCCACTTCTGGAGGGTGTGTCTGGCCTTCTAGCCCTGACCAGAGGTCGGGGGTGTGTGCAGGGGCAGAGGGATCATTAGGAGCCAGGCCATGGCTTGGATGGTGGTGTGTGAGTGGGTACAATAAGACAACTGAGCAGCCAGCAGCCAGCACACCCTGCACCATCATCCCCAGCTGGTAAACTGCAGGGCATCACCCAAATGCTTGAGTGGTGCTTGGCTCTCCAGCTCCGAAGTTGGAAAGTATGGAAACTTCTAGAAATAGCTGAAGACAACCCAACAAGGACAGCAAGTAGAACTCCTCATTGAGAATACAGAGAATATGGCCATACCATCCTGAATGTGAGTGGTCTCGTCTGATCCTGGAATCTAATCAGGGTTGTGTGTGGTTACTTCTTGGATGGAAGAATACAGGAAGAGACTACAGGGCAGGGATTCCTACTGATAACTCATTTGTTTATTGTTGTTGTTGTTGTTATTTGGAGGGGTATTGAAAAAAATACTGGAGAAGGGACAAGACAGAGTGCTCAGCAGTTAAGAGCACTGGCTGTGTTTCCAGAGGACCCAGGTTCAATTCCCAGCACCCACATGGCAGCTCACAACTGTCTGTAATTCCAGTTCCAGGGGATCTGACACTCACACAGACACACATGCAGGCAAAACACCAATGCACATAAAATAATTTTTAAAAAATGAAAGAGACAGATCTGGTAATGTAAACCTGAAATCTTAGCACTCAGGAGGCTGAGGCAGGAGGATGGAAAGTTTGAGGCTCACCTATGTCTCTAAAGTAAAATGAAGAGCTGAGGAAATGGCTTAGTGCACCAAGTGCTTGTAGCAGAAGCGTTGGGACCTGAGTTCAAATCCCTAGAACCCACATGAAGCTAGACATGCTAGCACATGTGTCTGTAATAGCAGCACTCCTACAGAAAACTGAGAGATGGAGACAGGAAAGAAGCTGAAAGAGAGGACCTAGCCTGGCTACAAAGCAGGAAGAAACCAAAAGAGCCTGCCTCCATTAGTGTGGGGGGAAAAAGGACAGAAGCCCAAGGTTGCCTGCTCACCTCCACCATATACTCAAGCACTTAAGCACACCTAAGGGGCATTCACACTTACAAGTGTGTGTGTGCACTCACACACACACACACACACACACACACACTGATTAAAAAGGTCATATATTTAAAAAATAAAATAGGCGGTGAATAGTGGCACACACCTTTAATCCAAGCACTCAGGAGGCAGAGGCAATCGGATCTCTGTGATTTGGAGGCCAGCCTGGTCTACAGACCAGGACAGCCAGGGCTACATAGTGAGACTCTGTCTTGGGGGAAAAAGAGAAAGAAAGAAAGAAAGAAAGAGAGAGAGAGAGAGAGAGAGAGAGAGAGAGAGAGAGAGGGGAAGGAAGGAAGGAAGGAAGGAAGGAAGGAAGGAAGGAAGGAAGGAAGAAAAAGAAAAGGTGGACAGTGTCTGAGGAGAGGCACCTAAAATGGACCTCTGGCCCCCACTTCACATGCACCCTCTCAAATGTGTTCACACACACACACACACACACACACACACACACACACACAGGCACTCACACACAGAGGCACTCACACACAGAGGCACACGCATGCACTCATACACGCACGCACGCACACACACATGCACACCAGTAAATCAATAAACAAAATGTACTACAAAAAAATCCCCTCGTCTACAAATGGAATTCCGGTGCAGCCAGGATTCTTTTACAAAGAGAAACCAGGTCTCACAACAACCAAACCAAAAGTGAGTAAATAAAAAATTTAAAATCCATAAGAACAAAGGCCCATGAAAAATTTGTAATTTTAATATAAGCTGAGGGTGGCAGGAAAAATGTCCCGGAGCTTATCGTATCCCAGCTGGCTTTGTTATGTTTGCTTTTCAACTTGACACAAGCTAAAGTTTTGAGAAGAGGAACCTCAATTGAGAAAACCGCTGTATGGAAGAGCCTGTAGGCAAGTCTCCAGGGGTATTTTCTTGATTAATGATTGGCATGAATGGACCCAGCCTACTGGGCAGGTGGTCCTGGGTTGTGGAAGAAAGCAGGCTGAGCAAGCTGTGGCCCGCAAGCCATGGCATCACTCCTCCACGGCCTCTGCTTCAGTTCCTGCCTTGAGCACCTTTCCAGAATTCCCTCCTCGATGTGTGGCCTGACAGTCAAAAATGAAGTAACCCTTTTTCTTCTCCAAGTCACCTTTGGTTGTGGTGTTTCATCACAGCAGTAGAAACCCAATTTAGACAATGCAGCCGGGTGTTGGTGGCCTTACTCCCAGAGCTCAGGAGGCAGAGGCAGGTGGATCTCTGTGAGTTCGAGGCCAGCCTGGTCAGGAGGCCAGGACAGGCTCCAAAGCTACAGAAAAACCCTGTCTTGAAAAAGAAAAGACAATGTGAAGTGAATCACTGGGTAGGACCACTCAGCCTTGGGGAAGGGATGTCTTCTCTCAAACAAGAATCTGAAAACAGAACCGCCCTGTTATTCAGGCCCTTCCCCATGTCTGCATGATGTCTCTTCACCCTACCCCTCTTTGCCCAGCCATTCCGGCCCCCGCCTCTAGGATACTTAGGAATTCTAATCTCCCTGCCTAACCGCAGTCTAAGTTTGAAAGCCAACCTACCATTTTCTAAGGTACACATCTTGAGCCCATCCCTTCCTTTCCATCTCCTCTAGCCATAATCTAGTTCTGGCCTTTGAACTTTCCCCCTGGACCATGGCTGTCACCTCCATGGCAGCAAGCACTCTTATGCTCCCATAACTCTGTACAATGCTGCCAAGTTCACCTTAAAGCTCCTCTTTGGTGCTGTGCCTACTGGTGAGCAGTGTCTAAACCAGCCACTTCACCCGCCTCCAGACGCTGCTATGCCCTGCAATTTACTCCATTCACCACTGACTGGGTGGACACAGAGGGGCTGGAGAAAGATGCTGGCAGCAGCAGCCGAGGCAAATCTTCCCGTGTAGATTGAAGACAAGGTGCTACTTATGGTCCAAATGGAAGATGGTTCACTGCAAAAACACTCTCTTGACTTTGTGCACATGTTCCCTGTTTTGGGGGCTTGGCATAGAGCCCACTTGATAGACTGCTTGCCTAGGACACAAAAGCCTTGAACTCCATACTCAGCACTGAATGAACAAGGCATGATGGTGGCTAGTTTATGTAAACCCACTCAGGAGGTAGAGGTTCAAGGTTGCCTGTGGATGCATAGCTAGTCTGAGGCCAGCCTGGGCTACCTATGACCCTGTCTCAGAGATCGGTAAAAAGAGTTGAGTGGGAGACAGGAGCTGAGATTGGGTTAGGGATGGGTTTACTGATAAAGGCTCGGGGCTGGAAAAGATAGATGGCTCAGCAATTAAGAGCACTGACTGCTCTTCCAGAGGACCCAGGTTCAATTCCCAGCACTTACAACTGTCTGTAACTCCAAAGTCTGACACCCTCTCACAGACATACATCCTGGCATAAACAAGAGTGCGCATAAAATAAAAATAAAGAAATATTAAAATACTTTTTAAAAAAGATGCATGCTGAGCATGTACAGTGTTCACTAACCAGCAGCCAGACAGGCCATAGTCCAATCATTTGGAAGGCTGAGACAAAAGGAGCCCAGGAGTTTGGAGAGTTGGCTTTGCAGTCATTTGGCATTCACACAACAAAACTGTTCACTCTTTCCTGAGGAGAGAGGCCCTGCAATCACCTTTCCTTATAACTGTTGAACTACTTGCTAGTCAGCAGCACTGTGGAAAGAGCAGGGAATGACCTTAGGTCAGCTGCTTCAGCTGGTGGTTTGGGATATGAGCAGGTGGCAGGGATATTGAACACTGGTCTTCTGGAAGTGAGAAACAGGTCCTCCCACTGCAGCTTGGAGGGAAGAGTGCCTCTCTCCTTGTCCCCCAACTCCACTACCCTAAAAAGTCAGGTCTCTGGGCTCAGCATCCCATCTATAACTACCTCTCTTGCCTTATTCTTCTCCAGGCTTTGAACCAGTATGACTGAACCCCGCCAGGAGTTTGATACAATGGAAGATCATGCTGAGGGCTATACTATGCTCCAAGACCAAGAAGGAGACATGGGCCATGGCTTAAAAGGTCAGTGGGCAGCCATGCACAGCAGGCTAGTCACAGTAGAACAATCCAGTTTGAAAAGTCACCTCCTTAAAGGCAGTGGTGGTGCACACCTTTAATCCCAGCACTCAGGAGGCAGAGACAGGCAGATCTTTGTGAGTTCGAGGCCAGCCTGGTCTACAGAGCAAGTTCCAGGACAGCCAGGACTGTTACACAGAGAAACCCTGTCTCAAAAAACAAAAACAAAAAAGGAAGGGAGGGAGGGAAGGAGGGACAGTGTGACATGGAATTGGGGGAGAGGTTTTATCACTCTCAGCTCTACAGGAGCCTCTTCAAGTCCTTAGCTACACAAACTTGGCCATCTGGACTCTGTCAGAAAAGAACAGGTCACTCTGGGATTCAGAGTGTATCCATATTAATGAACTGCATCAGGAGTGGGGTATGGCATGGTGGCACTGGTCTATAATCCCAGTACTCAGAAAGCAGAGGCAGGAGGATTGCTCAAATCCAAAGCTAACCTGGTTTATATAGTGAGTTTCAGTTCAGCCAAGGCTGCACAGAGATACCCAGTCTCAGAGAGGGGGTTCAAGGGCTCAGAGTACTTGTGGCTCTTCCAGAGGACCTAAGTTTGGTTCCCAGTGCCCCCATGAAGCAGCCCAGAAAAATCTGTTGTCTCCAGCTTTGGGGAACTGACACACGCAGTGCCTATGTAGCATTCACAGAGTCACACACATATGCATAAATAAAAATAATAGAAGTAAAATTTTAAAGCACTTCTCAAATTCAGCTTAATTAATTAAAACTGCAGTCTGTAATGTAGTCTTCCATCACAATGACTTGGCCCTGATCTTACTGGCTCCAAACTCACTGGTTGTCCATTTCACTGTGTGCATGTGTGTGGGAGCTCTGGGGGGTGCTCAGACACACACACACACACACACACACACACACACACACACACACACACACGTTCTATGCTAACACTCTCCACACCTCCTCACAAAACAAAATCCAGCCAAGTTCCTCTGTACTAATATACCACTGAGAGAGGAGAGAGAGAGAGAGAGAGAGAGAGAGAGAGAGAGAGAGAGAGAGAGAGAGAACATTGGAACTGCTACCCCTTGGAAGGTGCTGTGAAACAAGTGTGTCCTACCCACAACTGTGCTCCCCCCCCCCCCAAAGCCAAAGAAACCTAACATTTCCATCGAATTAAATCTTGCTACTGTGGGTTTCGAATGAGCTGTTTGTAGGTGTGGAGTGACAGCCCTGACTTGGCAGTCACAGTCCTAACAACAATTCAGATATGTGACAAAAGACTGTTTTGAATAATGACAAGGGACTACACACTGAATACCAGAACAGAGAGTGTCTAAGTGGATGCTAAAGGTTGGAATAGGACTAGATCCAGCCAGAGAGGCTGTGGAGTGGGGGAGGTGGCCCCACACGCTCATGAATTAAAAGGTGCTGATGCTGATACACTTTCCAGACCTTCACAGGGGGGCTTCTTCCCCCTCCTCCCTCCCTCTAAGGATAAATGACGAGGTTGGAAGTACAAAGTGAGTCTGAGGATACATGAGACACTGTGATAAAACAAAAGAACGCATAAAAAGGGCCGTTCTTTGGGCTATGCTTTAAGTGAGGCTGTGAAGTGTCTCATCCCTCACTGTACCTGAACTCTGTCTGCCTTTCTTCTGCATGTTCTGCCTTGCACATAGAACCAGCTCCCTTCCACCACCCCACAACCCCAGAATCTCACCGTTGCCCCAGGGACAGCATCTGTCTCCACTGAATGTCCCAGCCACACTACAACCTAGCAAGTGCCATCCATGCTCAGTGTTCCCCACCCACTGGTTCACCAAAGCCCCGGCCAGACTTTACATAGCCTCCTGTGGCTCCCTGGGGCCCTCACACTATGTCACTGACTCTAGACCTCCTTGACACAAACCTCGAGGTTGCCTCCTGAAGTTTTGTAACCTGAACATGCTCCCCTGTTTGTCCAGTCACCACCAAGGACAGAGAGGCATTTGTTTCGGTTTTGGTTTTTGAGCAGGGTCTCTACACAGCCCTAACTGTCCTGGTACTCACTATTTAGCATTAGTTGGCCTCTCAGAGATCCACCTGCCTCTGCCTCCTGAATGCTGGGATTAAAAGCGTGTGGACCACCACACCGAGCCCAAGGGCCCTTTCTTGTTACACTATTGCCTTGCCAAGCATGGCCCTCAAGCCAATATCCCACCACCACCACCAGCTAGCTGAGAATGGTCCTAACTCTTCACGCAGTTGACAAAAACAACCATGTGAGGCGTGGCTTCCATCTTCAAGCTGTCTCATGAGTCAGAAAGATGTGGCCTCCTAGCTAGGCATAGCTCTGTCCTGAATTCTGTCTGAATTATGTTTTCAAGGACAGCAGATTGAATGGACTCCAGGTAGGACCCCTCTTTTCCAGAGAGTGGGTGCCCAGACTGTGCCTGCTGGGGGTGTTAATCCCTTCTGGGGCATGAGTTTCCCCCATGGCCAGAGCCCATTTGTCCATCTGATACAAGGGGTAGCTGGCTCTTGGAGCCTCTGGAGATTCCCAGGCAACATCTGCACCATAACAAAGAAAGAAAGAGAGAGAGAAAGTATCAGTTCCTATTGATACTCAGTGCTACTCTGAGCCCTTCAACGGAGGTTCAGTAAGACCAACAGAATAACCATCGCTTACAGTGGAGCTCACATGCCGGGCAAACGTGTTTAGCACAGCCACGGTTACAAAAGCCCAGGAGAGTTAGCATAGAAAACCCTCCAGCCAATGCAGGCATGAAAGCAGGGGACTTCTACCTCACCGAGTGAGTTCACTGAGCTGAGGCACTGTGACTTCAAGGGCGAGAAGCCACAGGAGAGGGCTTTCTAGATTCGCAGCCAGGTTGTCCATGTAAGGGCATTTGCCTCAGTTGGGCCTGGGTGAATAAAAGCTTTATCTTCTCCCACCCAGGAGCAGACACACAACACCCACATCTTCATCCAGGGACCCCAGGAATGGAGTATGGTTGTGTCAGGGGGCAGGGGCGGTCCCTTCATGATTTGATCATGAGGCTACAGTATCCACATTAAAGGTTCCTCCTGAGGTCTGAGGGCTCACTGTATATGTTCCAGAGTCTCCCCCACAGCGCCCTGCCGATGATGGATCGGAGGAACCAGGGTCGGAGACCTCTGATGCTAAGAGCACTCCAACTGCTGAAGGTGGGGCCTCCCTACTCCCACCAAGTCCTTCAGCCTGTGTTTCCCTTGCTTTGAGCTACCCCTCCTGGCTGGCTGCACACTGGGTGCCACCCTCCCGGCTACACTGGCTGCTTCCTGTCCTGCTGGCTGAGATGCGCTTGCTCAGTGCTTTGCAGAGCAGTCAGTGCTTTGGGAGCTGGCCCCTGCTTCTATGCCTGGCTCAACAGCGTGTGCCTTGAATATCACCATCATGCATCTACTACGTTAAATGTTCCATGCTTGCAGAAGCTGGGCTGCGCGGCACAGTGGGGCTCACACACAGCTCGGCAGGGTTCCCATCCTGTACCCACTACCCTCCACGGCCCCTTCAGAAGCCCCGTCTTACTTTTCTTTCAGGGATCAGGCAGAATGATCATTTGATTGAGGAGGGGGCAGGTCAGACATCTTCCCCACTCATGTGTTAGGAATGGCTTTGGTGTGGCATCTTCATTTCTTGGGCTCTGGACTTTGGGCATGGAGTATGTTTCATCTCTTCTAATCTGTCCACTCCAGATATTTGGCATCTGGGTTGTCCTGAAGCTGCTTGTCTTTTTCCTGAAATGCCTCCTGGTCTCTCTTTCTTCCCATGTGGGTCAGTCAAGACAACCGTATTTTGGCGGGCAGTGATGTTGTGTGCTCCTTTAACCTCAGCATTTGAAAGGCAGAGGCAGGTGGATCTCTGTGAGTGCAAGGCCAGCCTGGTCTACAGAGTGAGTTCTAGGACAGCCAGGGCTACACAGAGAGAAGCAGAGAAACTCTGTCTCAAAAAAAGGAAAAAAAAAAAAGACTACTATATTTGGCTGCAGGAAATGGGACGCTTTACTAACTGAAGAGGCTTACTAGTCTGGCGTCATAAGATGTCTGCACATGGGGACAGCTCCCCAGTGTCGTTTATGTGCTTCTTACTCATCTTTTGCCATCCTAAGTGGTTGGACTGTGGCTTCATAGTTAAAGATGCTGCCACACTCCCAAATACTGTACCTGCCTTGGAACCAAGAACTGTGGCTGGTGAAACAGCTCAGAAGATAAAGATGTTCACCACGCAAGCCGGGTGAGCTGAGTTCAATCCCCAGAACCTTATAAAGGAGAAAACAGACTCCTCAACGCTGTCCTTTAAGCTTCCACATGTCACCGTGGCTGGCACATGCCCACAGAGACACATTATGCACATGTGCCGTAATGATGAATGAAAGTGCCTTTAATCCCAGCACTCGGAGGCAGAGGCAGGTGGATAGCTGAGTTCAAGGCCAGCCTGGTCTACAGAGTGAGTTCAAGGGCAGCCAGGGCCACACAGAGAAACCCTGTCTCAAAAAAACAAAAACAAAACAAAACAAAAAAACAACAATAATAATGGGCAGAATTAAAAAAAAAAAAAACCCAGTGCAAAACAAAGTGGCTAAAAAGAACTCCAAAGCCAGAACTAAGAAAATGAGAGCTTTCTACAAGTTCAACCTTGCAGTTTCCACTTTCCTTCTTTGGCCAGAACTGAGTCTCTGACTGGCAAGGCTGGGGGATTGGGCATCTTGTTTTTCAATGTATTGAACAGAAGAAACCAAGCAAAAAAGAATATTGAGAATGGCTTCTAACTAACCATCCATCACAGTGTCCTCCTGTCTCCCTAACCTTCCCAGGAGGTCAGAAGGTCCACTCCAAGCCCTTTCTGCAGCCCTGTGCATTGTTTGGGAGTTCTGTTAGAGAATGAAAATGTGGCCTCCGAATCTCCCCCAGGATCTGCTTTTGGATAAATCCAGAACATGTCTGTCAAGCTCCCACCGAGTGCTTGGCATGCTGGCTCATCCCCGAAGGATACAGGTGGCATGGCCCTTAGCCTGATGACAGAACATCCTGGCCAGATTCCCTTTGCCCTCTTGAAAACCAGTGACACAAGACACTTCCTGCTCGTCCTGTTAGGACAGTTCTGCAGGCTGCCCTGAGAAAGCCCTGAAATTCGATGCCAAACCTGGTGCCAGCTCCCCAGACATTGCTTTCAGTGCCCTGACAGCATTGTCCTGGAAGAAACTCCCACTCACGCAGTCTGGACCTGTGCATGCATGGGCCTCATATGCCTCGCTCCCACCTTCAGAGAGGGAGGTAGAGCCTGGGCTGAGCTTTGCTAGCAGTTTTATCTGCCCCAGAGAGGATCATAGTGAAAATGGCCTTTGTGAACTAAACTGCATGGAATTCCGGGAATCTCTTAGAGCAGGCCACTCCTCAGGTGTGTGTGCCTGGCACGCCTGGTGGAGAGGCAAAGGCCTCGTTTCCCTTGGAGAGATGCTGCCCCAGCCCCTAGCCTGTGATCCCTATCTCTTGCCTCCACAAGGAGGCTGGACTCTGTACAGGACCTAGCCCGGTTGTTGCCACATACGGCACTCTGTGCCTTTTAATGGGTGTTAGGAAGTTGGCCGGACAAGGAGTTAGAAATGATAGAAGTTTTAAAGGTCACCAACAGATGGCGCTCCATTTCTGTGAATGCAGAAAGAAAGACTCAGCGGTGACAAGCACCTGCACCAAGCCTCACAGGAAAACCACAGGCTCGCTCTTTCTCAGCTTTCTCACACTGCCTGGGTCCCAGCTGCTGGCACCCCTGCATTGCCAGAAGGATCACACAGCTGCCTTCAGGATTTCATCAATTCTCTAAAACCCCTGGGGAATCGGGCTATGTCCTTTGTAGTACTTTCCAGGCAGGTGTCTTGGCGCCTCTGCTTTCCAGGCAGGTGGCTTTCCAGGCAGGCGGCTTGTGCCCCCCTTCTGTTAATATACTTCCTGGGGAAATGGGAGGAGGGCTGTGGCCCTGCTTTGAGCTGGCTTTTCTTGCATGTGGCTGGGAGGCCATCCCTGCCCTGCCCCTGTATAAACAGAAGGGTGACTGCGCCCCTAGTGGAAGAGAGAGCTTCCGACAAGCAGGCGGCTGCCCAGCCACACATGGAGATCCCAGAAGGAACCACAGGTGAGGGTGGCCGCCAGGGCCCAACTGACCCGCTCTGACCGGGTCGTCCTCGTGGCCACGTGAAGCAGATGTGTAAGTGACTCTGGCTTCCGGGCGTACTTGGCTAGTTAGCAGTGGCTGCCTTAGAGTCTAGCTGCTTCCCACAAGGGTTTTAGGGTCCTCTGATTCCTGCTGGATCCTGCCTCGGCAACATGCCAATTAGAGACACCCTCAGCAAGATTCTCTGGGAAAGGATGATAGTCCTCTGCCTTCCTCACACTCTCTCCAGTTCTAGCTGTTGCAAGTGGCAAGTGACCCTTAGGGGACAGTTTACCCCTCGGAGCACCGAGCATGGTGCAGTGGCCACATAACAAGATCTTCTTGAAGGTCTAATGGGCTGATCCTGGAGTTGTGAAGTGTGACCACACGTCCACTTCTAGGCCTGTGCTGCCTTCCAACCCTGTTTTTGTAGCCTGCTCCACCGGTGGGGACGATGAGGAATTGATCAGACAGCAAGCACACCACAAGAAAAAGCACTGAACTTGGGGCTGCTCAGGCATTTGTAAGTCAGTCTGCTAGGGCCCTAGGCATGAACCATCACAGCCCAGGACCCCAGGTATCTTTCCCCGAGTGTCCTCTTCCATGGGCTCGGGAAGAAGTCCAGCATTGGTGTGATGAGCCTGCGGTGCCCAGTTGCTTACCAAGAACTGCCTAATCCCTGTGCACAGGACACTGGCCATGAAGGTGGGACGTCCCTTCCTGAGGATTGTTTCTCTACCACGGTGCTAGCTAGTTACTCTTTTCCTCCTGGTGACCTGAGAGAGCAGCTCATGGTCTGAGGGATGGAGTCCCTGTGACAGGGAAGGCATAGTGGCAAAGACGGCAGTGAGGAAGCAGAGAGATGAATGCTGGTGCTCAGCTGGCTTTCTCCTTTCCCCCCCAGGACGTCAGCCCATGGGATGGCGCTGCCCATATTCAGGGTAGGTCTTCCCGCCTCAGTTAAAGCTTTCTGTGAATACCCTCAAAGACACACCCAGAGATGTGTCTCCTCCCAGGGGTGTGTCCACACCCAAAGGTGGTTCCCAACCCCATCAAATCGACCTTGAAAAGTAAACATCATAGCCGCTTTCTCACACATCGACTGAGCGTGCTCATTACAGAGCAAGTAGTGCCCTCCTGGTCTTTCAAAATGTGTTTCTGCTTTGCAAAGTGATGGACTGGCAGTAAGGCCTTCCGAGGCAGGTGGACCAGATGTCCCGAAAGCCTGGCCAGGCCTCTGCTTTGAACATGAAGGATGCTTGAACACCATGGGACATCTTATAGAGTGAGGTCATGAGTGACTTGATTTTTGTCTTCTGTCTGGGATGAAAACTCTCTACTTTCTCATCTCTCCTGGATAATCATAAATGCCTCCTAGTCTTCATGGTCACCAACAGCCTGCAAATGGATGTAGCTCAGCTACTAGAGTGCCTAGCTTAGCACCCATGATCGCCACCATGTCATACATTGAGTGTGATGAGGGGCGGGGAAGCCATCACAGCTGATAAATGCTCAACAGAAGGGCCAGCCTGGTGTGATAGTCAGGCCCACATCCATGTTCTAAAGCAGTCCCTACTCTGGGCTCCTGGGGATAGGTGTGTAGGAGGAGTCAGCACTGCTTCCCACTCCCTGCATGGACTCAGAGGCTGCTGTTTCTCTCATGGAGACTGTATTAGCTTCTCTATGTGTTCAGATGCCTGACAGAACCAGCCAAGGGAAGAAAGCCTTGTTTTGTTCATGGGCTCAGAGGGTTCATGGTTGCTTGGCTCCGTGGCCTTGGGCAGATCATTGTGGTAGCCATGTGTAGTGGAGGAGCGGAGGGGTGTGGTATTGGCCATGCTCTCTCTTTTATCAGCTTTTGTTTATTATTGCCCCACCCCAGCCAATGGGCTGGTGCCAACCACATTCATGGAGGCCTTCACTTCCGAGAATCCTCTCTGTAAATCCCTTCAGACACAGCCACATGTGTACCTCAACAGTTCCAAATCTAGGCAAGTTGACTGTGAATGTTACTCACCACATAGACCTTTCTTTAATCCATCTAGGTTCTTCCCTCTCAATTCCTGTGTCCAGCTTCCATAAAGATCCATGCCTCTGCCGCAGATTCTGGAGGCTGTCATCCCTTCTCTGTGGAGGGTGACTCATTCCCACTAGTGACCTGTTAGACTTGATCTAAGAAGCCCCAGTGCCACCTCTGATCCATGCCCATCTTGGCTGCAACTCCCTGTGACAATTCTCCTTTCTTTGCTCGGCCAGCCCTCCCCTGTCCTGTTGTGTTCCTGGGCAGGGCTCTGACTGCAGTCCACCAGACCTCAAGCCAGAGGGAACCGAAGCCAAGTGTCCGTCTCTAGGTGGTGCCTTGAAGACCATGGAGACAAGCTAGGCATGGCAGCACATGGCTGTCCTAGCGCTTGAGAGGCTAAGGTGGGAAGATCGAGAGTTCAAGGCCTGCCTGGGGGACATAGTGAGTGCAAGGCAAGTACGGATTACATGGCAAGATCCTGTGGAGCCACTCCAGGCCCAGGCCAATCACCTCTCGGTGGGTTTAGAGTTAGGCAGGTTTCCAGCTGTTGGTGGAGCTGGTACCTCACCTTGTACTCACATGAGCACATGCTTGCTGCTTCTCAGTGCTCAGTAAAGCTGCCCAACAATGCCTGCACTGGCATTGGGAAGATGAATGGACTCTCCTAGTGCTGGAACAGTGACCGTTCCAGAAAGACCCCTTACGCCTCCTAAGGACTCCATGACTGTTTAGCTGGATTTGCTGTCACTCTGAGCCTGTCCTCCACTTACTTCCATAATTTTGCTCGGACCAAATCCACACTTGGACTTTGCCTTCCCAGACATTTGACGAAATAAGTGACCATTGTTGTGTTATCTGACAAGGAACTGTCAGCCAAAGACCTCCTGGGCAGCACAGAGAACCTAGACGTGTCTGAGCTGATAAGTGGTGGCTGGAGAGCTTCCAAGTTCACTGCCACCACCCGGGGGCCCCACCCGCACTTAGCCATCTGGCTAGGTGCTTACCGGACACCATGTGACTATGCAGTGACTCAGGCTCTTTGCTTGTCGTGCTGTCCTTGTGTGGCAAGTCAAGTGAAAACTGGCTTGAGGTTTAGGTGCAGCGGCTGAGCACCTCTGTCCAGAGACAAGGCTGACAGCCCAGCTGGCACTGTGTGAACATTTCTTCTCCCGTGTTCTTGGGATAAGCGCTTACTGACTGGAATCCTGCTCATGTGGTCTGGAACTTTCTCAACTTCCTTTATTTGGGTTGACTGTCAGCTCCTTAAATAAAACACAGAGACCCAAAAGAGCTGCCCTTTGGCCCTGCTGGCCTTGCTCCAGTAATGCTGGTTTCAGGTGTGACCGGCGTGGGTTTAGAGGGAAGAATGTTAGCAGCTCCTCCTGCGTGTCAGGCTCTGTCCTCTGTCACTCTCCTCCTACAAGACAAACCCCAATCATCTCCCTGAGGTTCCCAATGAGGAAACAGGCTCAGAGATGCCAGGCAAGTGGTGGCTCCTGGGTCCACACCCCAGAGAACACCATCTCTTCCTGAGCCCCTGTCCTCTCAAAGTGTTGCCCAGGGCAGGCAATGCCGCCGCTGGGACTGTCTCTGGTCTCCCGGGTCCCAGCATCTTTGTTGGGCCAGGCGAGACAGCAGGACCTCGGACGCCTATGGAGAAGCTCTTTCCTCTTAGGTCGCAGTCACCTGGAAGTGGATGGTGCGTGGGTGCTGTCACCCCTGTCCCTAGCGGTGGCCTTCTCTGAGGAGTGGAGCACGACAGCTGACCCTGCAGGGCACACCCCTTCTGCATGGGAGAAACACGAGGTACAGAGAGCATGGATTGCAGCAAGAAGTAACTGTGTGCTTCTATCCTCTCTCTCTGCTGCCTTGGACCAGCTGAAGAAGCAGGCATTGGAGATACCCCCAACCTGGAGGACCAAGCTGCTGGGCACGTGACTCAAGGTCAGTGCCCAAATCATCTCTAGGACTCAGAGATGGGGAGGAGGGAGATGGGAGCACTTGGCAGGCTCTACCTTGAAAAGACATCTTAGCCCTGTGTGTTATTTACACGTCCAGGAGACCACCCCAAGGGAGTTGTCTTTATCAAACATGGGCTCTGTGGACACAGACAAGATTTACTCTAATACCATTCTGATTTCATTCCCAGGGCCTGTGTGGCGGGGTGTGGGGGGGTTCTGAATGAAACAGGCCTTGCCTAGCCTGGGGATGAGTATTGTGGGTGATGCTCCCACAGTGCTCTCTGACCTGTCAATCACATCCCCACAAAACTCGTCCATTTGAGCCTCCTTCTCTGTGCTCTTCACACCTTATTATAATTTTCTTCTCAGGAACCAAATGGCTGTGCTCAAGACAAGTTGCTTTCTGTAGCTGTTTAGCAAAAATACACTCTTAAAGGAATTTCTAAAACCTTAGAGAGTCGCTGGGCAGTGGTGGCACATGCCTTCAATCCCAGCACTTGGGAGGCAGAAGCAGGCGCATCTCTGTGAGTTCAAGGCCAGCCTGGTCTACAGAAGTTCCAGGACAGGCTCCAAAGATACTACACAGAGAAACCCTGACTCAAAAAAAAAAAAAAAAAAAAAAAGCCTTAGAGAGCCTTGATTTTAGGAAATGGGGCCTCCAGGGTAGATAAAGCATGAGCTGGTTTTGTTTTCTAGTTTTCTGGGTAAATGAATTTGAGAGTATACGGTATAACAGGGAGGCTTATAGATGACGGAGGAGCTAGGGGATGGTGTCCTTAATAAGTGATGGAGAATTTGTTAGAGGTACTGGCTGCCTGTGAAGGACTCTGCCTCACTCACCTAGCTTAGTTCGTCCCCCTTTAGGTGACTTGGACACTAGGCTCCTGAGGTGGAGCTGGGGGAGACATTTTTCCATGGTCTTGTTTACCCTGAGCCCTTCCACCACACCCAATGAGTGTTTGTTTGTTTGTTTGTTTGTTTGTTTGAGATAAGGTCCCATGTAGCCCAGGCTGGCCTCCATTTGTATCCAAGGATGACCTTGAACTTTGATCTGCCTGTGTCTACCTTCTGGTGCTGAAGTTGTAGGCTTGTGCCACCCAGCTAGTTTATGCAGTGCTGGAGATCGAACTCAGGGCTCGCTGTGTGCCAGGCAAGCACTCTGATAACTGAGCTGCCTGCTTTCATAGTAGGTTACAGTACCCTGGAAACTGAAAAGAGGATTCTCCAGCCCAGATCCTCCCTAGGAGTTTTAATTATGCCTAGGTTCCTCATCAGTTCACGCGTGTGTGTTTACTGTGCATGTTTGGGCGCTCGCCTCAACTTGGAGTCTTTGAAAGCCTTGCAGGATATCAGACTCCAGGATATCCCAGTCAAAAATAATTTCTAGGGAGCATTTCCTTGAAGGTAATAGAGGCCCAAGTCTGTTGGGTGGTATCATGGTTGGTAGCTGTCTTGGCCTCTAGTCAGTGAGCCGGCTGCTTCTGGGTAGCCAGACCCTGCTGGTTTCCCATATCTGTCTTTGTTGAGATCTGTCCCTGCTTGAGACAGACCAAGAGCCTGATAAGGAGCAGAAATTGGTGCTTTTTCCAGGCAGACGGCAGCTATTTTATATAGAATGCATTTATTCATCAGTTGTCATGTGACAGCCTTGACACGGGCACCATAAATGAAGGTAGCTGTGAGCTCAGTCTGGCATAAGGAAGGAGAGGCCAGGCTGGAGTTGGGTCCCTTGATAGTGAGCCAGCCACATGGAGTCCCGCTGGGTTAGAGACAAGGTTTAACATACATATTACTTATGTGTGTCCAGAGTTACACATGTGTGTGGATACACGTGTTCTCCCCTCTCCTTCCCTCCCACTATCCAGATTTTTCTTCTGTGTCCCCAAAGCCTTTGAGATTATAGATTTTGTTAGAGAATTGGGGCTATTTTGTTGGGACCAGTAGGATGTTCAAAACAAGTTCAGCGTTACATAAGTGTGGTGGCGCATGCCTGTAATCTGAACACTTGGAAGTAGAGATAGGAGAATCAGGGGTTCAGGGTCATCCTTGTCCTCATAGTTGGGTACCAGCCTCAGGTACAGGAGACCCTGTCCCAAACAAGCATCAAACAGAGCCAGAGGGTGTTTATTGAGGACCTTGGTAAGACTCGAGGGGACACCCCCCCCATCCCTAATGCACAGCCAGATACTCTGAAGAGGGTTTTGTGTGAATATCACGTGATTGACCCAGGAAAAAAACAAAAACAATGTGCTTACCAGCTGAGCTGGTGGGCAGTGTGCTGGGTGAGCAGTTAGAGCAAGGGTCCCCACGCTTCTGCCTCGCCTGAGACGAAAGGGAGAAAGGGAGAGTGACCACAGAGCTGCCATTGTGCTGCAGGGCTATGTAGAGGAATACGTACACGTACGACCGGTCCGTTAGCAAAGCTTCGTGCTGGTGCTGACAGTCACGTCTTGTGAATTTTCGAAACCAGAGCAGAGCTAGAGAATTTTCCAGATCAGAATACTAGAGGCCATGTAACTTATGATGCCCACTCCTTTCACCTGCCTGAAGGGGAGGAGAGAGAGAGACCACTGCCATAAACCTGCCAAGGCCACCTGGAGTCCAGGATCTTCCCATAATCCCATGCTGGGCAGCCACAGAGATGCCAGCAGGCAATGGCCCAACCGAATACCAGAGGGGACTCAGGTTACCAAGGACAAGAACACAGATGCCCAGAGAGGGTCACACAGCAAGCTAGTGGCAGATAGACCAAGAGAACGTTTATTCCAAGCAGTGAGCTGGGCCTGAGATGGGCTCCGGTCTCTGCTGGAAGAGTGCTGGCACCTTTGAGGGCTCTTTTCTTATGGCAAGTGCCATGTTCCCCTTTAAACAGTGTGTGTACCCTTGTTAGCAGTTTGCCACCACTGCCCGCCTCGCCCGCCTCTTCAAGCCCTGAGGAGGTGAAGGTTCCCAGGCAGTAGAGAGAGGTGCCTGAGAGGCCCCTGAGCCAGAAGCTTAGTGTTCAAATCCACAGAGCAGACGTTTCTGGGCTCTCACTGTCCCGTCTAGGCGAAAAACAGTCAGGTAGTCCGGGCTTGTCAGTCACTCACTGTCCCCAGAAGCACCCCGCCTGCCCAGTCCTTTCTCCACCAACTAGACCTCAGAAGTCCATCCAGGAGTGGAGACCAGAGCCTGTCAAGGTGGGCCTGCCCATTCTGAAGCCCTCCTCTGCTGGGTATCTCCACACAGAGCCACAGAAGGTCGAAATTTTCCCAGAAAGTTTGCTTGGAGAGCCAGGGCGCCATGAAAGCCAGGCTCCAGACTCAGGGATCTCAGATTGGATCTGCCAGCCGGTGCCTGACGTGTCTGGGGCTCCCTTCCTCCTGCCACAAGGCCTCAGAGAGGCTACGTGCCAACCTTCAGGGACAAGACCTGAGGATGTGGAGAGAAGCCACCCAGCCTCTGGGCTGCTGCAGCAAGAGTCACCTCAGAAGGAGGGATGGGGCAAAGGCAGGCTGGGGAGTGAGGAGGAAGAGGAAGAAGGCCTTGACATGGATGAGTCATCCCAGGACTCCCCTCCTTCCCAGGCACCCCTGGCCCCTGGTAGCGCTGCCCCTCAGGCTGTCTCCAGGGAAACCATTGGCATGCCTGGGTTCCCAGGTGAGGGTGCCACCCCACTTCCTGTTGACTTCTCCAAAGTCTCCACAGAGACCCAGGCCTTGCAGCCCGAAGGGCCTGGCACAGGGCACCTGGAGGAAGGGCATGAGGCTGCCCCCGAGTTCACATTCCACGTGGAAATCAAAGCCAGTATGCCGAAGGAGCGGGATTTGGAAGGGGCTACATTGGTGGGGGCCCCTGGAGAGGAGCAACAGGCCCAGGGCCCCTCTGTGGGAAAGGGCGCCAAAGAGGCTAGCCTTCTGGAACCATCTGAGAAGCAACCCACAGCTGGCCTGCCAGGAAGGCCAGTCAGTCGGGTCCCTCAACTTAAAGGTCTGTGGTTTAAGTCCCCTACTCCTCCCCTGGTGCCCTCCAGGCTGTGGACATTGTCACTGAGCTTCTGGCCTTCCTTGACTCCCGCACCCTAAGATTCCAGGATAGCCACTAAACCCACCGCCTGGGCCGCCGCTGCCTCCCAGCCCCTGCCCTGTAGCCTCTGGAAGCACGCATTCCTTTCACGCTTGCCCTCATTCTGCATGTCACCAGCACCTGGCCCTGTGCTTTCTGCCCTGTTTTGTTCCCTATCCACTTGACACACCCACCATGGCCCACCAGCCCACTGGAGGTTGCTAGGCTCACTACATAGAGTGGACAACAGTGTCCCTCATTTCTGAGGGCTTATGATGTGTTTTTACATTCACAATCTAGAACCTTCCCAGCACTCTGAGGAGGCATAATTAGCCCCACTTTTCAGATGAGGAAACTAAGCCTAAGAGCAGGGAATTGAGCTTGAGATAAACACCCAGGTTAGTAATGGTTGAAGTCAAGTTCAGAATTCAATTAGGTCGAATCCTCTTGCCATGGTCCACCACATTGCCCCCTAGAAGATGCTGGAATGTGTCCTCCTGGTGCAGAACCATGGAGTCCACCTGCCTGTCCCCTGATGCTCTCATCTACAGACAGCATGTCACGTTTGACAGGTGACAGCCACCCCTGTGGAGGTGGCTAAGAGTCCCCAAACCTCTCCCCCCTTGCTGCTTGCAGCAGGAATGATGAATAAAGCATATCTTTCCCGTCCAAAACGACACTCCTGTCAGTCAGAAACAACCCTGTCAGTCCGTGTGCAACCCCATCTGGAACCCTTTGAAGTCTGCAGGGTGGGGACAGCCTCTAGGCAGCAACATTCGTGTGTGGCATTTGGGCCTTCCAAGTGGCTGAATGGGTAAAGCTACTTGCCACCAAACCAAATGATGCAAGTTTCATCCCTAAGACCCACGTGGTGCAAGAACATGCTGCCACATGGGCATAGAGATCAGGGGACAACTGTGGGAGTCAATTCTCTGGCTGTTCTTTGACCTCCATACGCATAGGGTGGTATGTATGTGGTACACACACACACACACACACACACACACACACACACATGCTCTTGTACAATAAATAAATAAATGTCAGGATAGATTACTTGGCATTTTAGAATTATTTGTAGAGCCTAGAACCTGATGCCTCCTAAGCACAGAGTCAAAAGCATCTATTAACTGTCGATTAAATTCTACTTATAGAAAACACTCCAATATCATAAATAGAACAGTCTGACAGGATGGTAGCACAAGTCTGCCATTTCAGCATATTCCAGCTAAGACAGAAGGATCGCTGCAAGTTTGAGGCCAACCTGGACTACATAGTGAGTTCAAGGCTGGCCTGGGCTACATAACAAGACTGTTAAAAAAAAAAAAACAAAAACAAAACCTGGGCATGATGACACATGCCTAAAATGATGGAGAAAAAGAGGGGTCAGCAGTTCAAGACCAGACTCCCCTACATAACACCCTGTCTTAAGACAAAAGTTAAGGCAGAATAGGGGAAGCCTGTGTCCTGTTTCAAAGTCCAAGACAAAGGAGGACAGATGACTGCATCAAATGTTTTCGTAAGCATTGTTCTATCAAATTCTGGTCCTCCAGGTGTCAATAGGTTTGTGGGTGTGGAGTAGGGGTAGGGAGGGTATAGTTTCACAGCACAGAGAATTTAGAAGTGGGGGAAGGCTAAACAAAGCCCAAGAACTTCCACTGTCTGGGACTCATAGAGCCCTTGTGTGCACTGTGACCCTCTAAGGCGGATGGGTCCTTGAATTTCCCAAATGTATGTGATGCCACCTGCTAATATCTCCACCAACTAACATCTCCACCTGCTAACATCTCCACCAACTAACATCTCCACCTGCTAACATCTCCACCAACTAACATCTCCACCTGCTAACATCTCCACCTGCTAACATCTCCACCAACTAACATCTCCACCTGCTAACATCATCTCCACCTAACATCTCCACCTGCTAACATCTCCACCTGCTAATATCTCCAACTAACATCTCCACCTAACATCTCCACCTGCAACATCTCCACCTGCTAATATCTGCACCAACTAACATCTCCACCTGCTAACATCTCCACTTGCTAACATCTCCACCTGCTAATATCATCTCCACCTGCTAACATCTTCCAGAACAGAGCTTGTTGAGTCTCATGTGGGCTCTGGAAGTGCTGGTCTAGCAGGCTGATTTGCGGTAATGGAGGTGATAAGCAGGTTACTCCAGTTAAAGAATTCGCCAACACAAGAGTGTGTCAGCCATGCTGTAGTGCAGACACAAAGGGCAGAAACTGCCTGCACAGAAGCATCCTAAGGAACAGCTTTCACAGGTAGAGTTGGGAATTAGTCAGGTGGTGTTCCGATGACACTGAGCCCAGGAACAACCTCAGCTGGAGCTCTGGTGGTTTGTAACAGTCTGGATTGGCACAGCCATTTGTCCTAAACAGATCACATGGTTGACAGGGAAAGGAACGTCTAAGATCCAGTGAACTCCTACTGCAATGCAGATTCCTGGGTACCTGTTGGTTGTACACCCAGCCTCAGTGCAGGCAGGAGTCTGTATGCCACCTCCCCAGGTGATTCCTCCACAGTAGAATGGGGACACCCCTGGGCTGGAGAGCCAGCTGAGCTGGTGGCTCTGCAAGCCCAGTCTTTATTCACCTGCAGGTTAATAGTGACACTGGGGTTCTTTGAGCAGCATGTGGCATATTTGAAGGGCCCTTGGGAGTGGCAAAGAGCCCTCAGGGCTGTGTCAGAGTAGGAAGGACTCCTTGAAAGCAGCTGGGGCTGATGTGGAAGGTCCCTGTTAGTGAGTTGCTCTGGGTTGTGGGTTGCCGATTGCACCCCGTAACAAAGGGACTCATCTGTTCTGGTAGGACTGGGGTTTGGAACGGTCAGCATAAAATGTCCAAGAAGGGGAGGCTGAGAACTCTTCTAGAATAGGGTAAGGAAACAGAGGTGGCTTCACTTGGGCCTTGAAGCCCTAGAGGGTAACCGGGCATCTCACAGGAAAGAAAGACCACGTCTGGCCACAGAGAGAGAGAGACCCCTCATCCTGATCCAAGGATCGTGCTGTAGCCTGGACCCAAATTGGGCTCTGCCGTTCATGGCCTTAGGGCATTTAAATGGCCCTGTATTCGGTGTGGTTGGCAAATGAAGGGAGTGAACTGGCCACAGCCATGTGTCCAAAATGCACCTCTAACAGCACCTGCAGCCTTCCCTCTGCATGCCCCCACCCTCAGCCAGCCTGCTGCCCTCTCTTGCCGGGTTACTCTGAGGGATGGCCCTGTGTGCTGGGTGTGATACTAACCCTGTGAGACCCTGGTAGATTTAAGGACTAAGAAAATCAGCTGTGTTGCATCCAAAGGGAGTTCACACCAGCAACCCTGAACTCTGGTGTGTCTATCAACCTTAAGCACGGGGGTCACGTGCACTCTTGTTTTGTATTTTATCAGCCCGAGTGGCCGGTGTAAGCAAAGACAGGACTGGAAACGATGAGAAGAAAGCCAAGGTAAGCTACTGACCAGCCAGTTTCATTCGCCAAGCGGCTGTGCTTCAGGCCTGTGTTTGCACTCATCTCGTCCCTCGGGTGAAGCTGTTATTTAAAGCCGTTGCTTTCTCCGAAGGCAGTGGAGGGGTGCTCACCGCCATGCCCTCCTCTTGGCATTCCCTCACAGTTTAAGTAAAGGTATTAGTGCGTCTTGTCCTTATGGCCAGAGATCTAGGCTCAGTAAACATAGAAGTTTTCATAATCGCAGAGTACACTGGGGGTCAGAGAACTGTGAGCAAGGCCAAGAGTGATCTCCAGACAAAGGCAGGGAGGATTCTGGGGGAGCCCTCAAAGAGAAGAGCTGGGAGGGGCATGGAGGAGCCGCGCTGGCTGGCAGCCAGCGGGGAACAGCAAACCATGGGAGGAGGAACGGGCCTTTGGGAGTTGTTGGCCTTGGTTGCTGAGTTGTATATGGGGCTGCCGTGGGTTCTGAATCAGTGAACCCCTTGAAGTCAAGTGTGGAAAAGTGTGGGTTGGAAGGTGCGGTTTAAGGAAAGCCCTTGTCAGTCTTCTGCAACCAAGCCCAGTAGATAAAGCAGCCTGCTTGCCCCAGGTCGGCATCCCGAGCTCCACCTTATCCTCCCCTTTTTATCTGTAGTCCCCTCCCTCCATGGATTTTTATCGTAGAAGCCCCTATGGCTGTGCAGTGGCACCTCCTGGAAACACCCATCCCCATCCCCGCTCATCCCAGATTGGACCAACCGGGCAACTAGTATGAATGCTGCCAGGAACATCTAGCCTGTAATCGTTGCCAGAGCCCCGGGGAGTCTCCAAATGTGGATAATGGTGTTAGAATCTGCTGGCAGGGCTTGAGGACCATTCCCAGAAGGCCCTGCTCTGCACTCGTTAGGACTTTCTGTCATGGGTGCTCAGAGGGAGAGGCAGCCCAGCCTCGCACAGAAGCCCCTGCCCCACTTCTTGAAGCAGGAGCAACAGCTGCTTGTCAGTCAAGATGCTCATTCGCTCCAGGGCAAGAGCCAGGGAGTTCTGGCCTTGTGCTTGCACAAGTGTGCACGTACTCAGCATGCGTGTGTTCCTTCAGTCCACCGTCCCTGCTCTTGCTTGGCTCACACCGTAGCATGGGGCCAAACCTACTACAGACCTAGACTGGGTAGAGAATGCTCGCTATGGAGAGGGTGTTGTCCAGCTCCAGAACCAGGGGCCCCAGTGCTCACTCTACCTTTTCCCTGTGAAAGCAACCCCAGAGCAGCTGTCCCTTGAACTCTCCTCCTGACAATGGTCCCCAGCCCCTTCAGTGAGGGGACTAGGTCACACACAGGAACAGCACAGCAGAGCCTCAGGACTCCAGAGCACCCCACACTGGGCCTTTCAGTTCTTTATTCCCAAGGGTCTGGCCTCACACCCTGCATCCATACCAGTGCTGCTCTTCCCAGCCAGAATCCCCAGAGGAAACCGTGAATGTCGGCCGTCAGCCCTAAGGTACCCTGGTTCAGGGAGCCAGTCCTTCTTAGAGAACATCCATCCACACAGACACTTATTTCCTGAGGTGGAGTATGTTCTGGTGTTAACTTTGGCCAGATTGAGACTCTCTAGATAACATTAAGATTAGTTTTATTCAAGTCTTTGTTTAATCAGAAAGTAAATGTGTGTGTACATATGTCTGTGTATGTGTGCATTCTTTCGTGTGTACATGCACATATGTGCATGCATGTATGTGTATGTGCCTGTGGTGTGTGTCCTCAGTGACATCTGACAGAAGCTTTTTGTTGACTCTGGCACAATCCTCCTTGAAGGATTGGGATTCTGTTGGCATGGTGGAAAGAGACGGTGGGTGTCAGTGAGCCCCAATGAGTGCTTCCCCCCTGAGGCTGAACCAAAAACAGAATGCCACTGACCCATGACACATTGGCATTCTTTCTTGGGAAAAGCTTGCTGTCTTTTCTCTGATGGTCTCCATGCACTTACCAAAAGGGAAGCCCCTTTAAGCCAGTGTTCTCCAAGTAGGAGGCACAAGATCCAGGTTCTAGAGAAAGGATGTACCAGAACATTTATTTATGTTCAGCATCTCTTTTAGAAGTTCAATGCTATATGCCAGGCAGTGGTGGCGCACACCTTTATTCCCAGCACTCAGAGGCAGAGGCAGGCGGATCTCTGTAAATCCGAGGCCAGCCTGGTCTACAAAGCAAGTTCCAGGACAGCCATGGCTACAGAGTAACCCTGTCTTGAAAACAAACAGACAAAAAAGGAGTCCTGTGCTGTACTACTTTGACTATGTCCGTTGCGTGTCAGCTGTGTAGCATGTGTGTAGCTGAGAGGTGACACAGCGCTGTCCTTTCTTACTGGAAGGGCGGTAGAGAGACTGCTTTGAGCTGTGACCTGCCTTCTTTATGTTTAGTTTTTTTGTCCTTTTTTCAGTTTGCTTCCCTCCCCCATTGCTGACTTTTATTTTGATTTTATTTATGTTTATGTTTAAGACATCCACACCTTCCTGTGCTAAAACCCTGAGCAATAGGCCCTGCCTAAGCCCCACACACCCCAGTCCTGGTAGCTCAGACCCTTTGATCAAACCCTCCAGCCCTGCCGAGTGCCCTGAGCAAGCCACCTCTCCTAAACACGTCTCTTCTGTCACACCCCGAAATGGCAGTCTTGGAACAAAGCAGATGAAACTCAAGGTAAGGAAATAACCTCCGGTGAGGCGCAGGCTGTGGTACCGCAGTGTTCAAATGCTTTCTTTCTCACAGGCAGCACTGGATGGTTGAAGAAGGGACAGGGAGGGGACTGGGGACTAGGACCTGTGCTTCTTCCTCCTCCCCTTGACACAGTAGTCCCCAACATAACCAGGGGACCCTAGTTTGAAAACCAGGGATCTAAGCTCAGCATGGTACCTGATGCCTGTAACCATCCTTAATCCTGAGGAAGATTCCTGTAAATCTGAGGCTAGCTTGAGCTATAGAGTGAGCTTCAGGCTAGCCTGGGCTACAGAGTGGGTCTCCATTTAAAAACAAAAACAATAAAGAAGCCAGGTGTGGTGATGCTTATAATTTCATCACCCAGCAGTAAGAGGCAGATCAATGCAATAACACATGAAATAACTCTTCAAAAATAAATAAAAATAGCCAGGTGGGGCACACACCTTTAATTAATTCCAGCTCCTGGGAGGCAGAGGCAGGTTATTCTCTGAGTCCGAGGCTAGCCTGGTCCACAGAGCAAGTTCCAGGACAGCCAGGGCAATTGCATAGTAAAACTGTCTCAAAAAAAAAAAACAAAAACAAAGTTAATTAATTAATTAATTACAAATAAAGATAAATGATAAAGAAAAAGCCTTAGCTCCCTCTAGAGTCCCCATGGTAACTGGCCACACCTCCAGCTGCGCCCATCCCAGGAGCTCCTTCTCTCCTGCCTTCCTCCACAGTCTGGTTCAAATGTGGTTTCTTTGTGAAGTTCATGCCACGCCTAACGGTCATTACTGACCACCAGACCTGTAGCCACTCACAGTCGGCTGATTGTGTCTGCTCCACTTCTGGCTCCCAGCTTTCAGCCAGTGTTCATGGCCAAGGGCTCTTAGCACATCTAAAGAGTCACAGAGATCCCAGGATCATGGAGAGAGAGAAGATATGGCTTGGCTGTTGGGGGTTCTGCTGGAGGCTGAAGTGCAAGTGTCTCCGGGGGTCTCTGGTGAATCCATCCCCCATCAGCTACATCCATAGTGGAGTCTGGAAAGGGTATCCCCAAGGCGTGGTCTTCCTGGGCCAGCCTATTGATCTACTCTGACCCTGATCTTGCCCCAAGCACTTCTGTCATTTTATAACACAGGCTAGTGTGCAATTCACCTAAGAGGAAATAGGAACCTGATACCTGCTGTGCGGGTAAGCTGTGTGCCCCACAGACACTCAAGACGGTACAAGACCCTGCTAGCATCCATCTCCACCTTCACCTTCTTCCAGTCAAGGTGGGAGGGTGGGGTTGACCTTTCCTTGATGATAGTCACCTTTCCTAGTGAAAACCTTTTACCCTGATTCGGTTTACAGGGGACGGATGGTAAAACTGGAACAAAGATCGCTACACCTCGGGGAGCAGCCTCTCCAGGCCAGAAAGGCACATCCAACGCCACCAGGATCCCAGCCAAGACCACGCCCAGCCCAAAGACCCCTCCCGGCTCAGGTGAGAAAGCTCTCTGGAGCCTTAATCCAGAAGCTTCCATAAGGTGTGACCCCTTCCTCCGGAGGCCACTGACAGTAGCCCCTGGCACGGACTAACACCTTGCAGTTTGCTGAGCACTGAAGCGTTTGTCTTCTTTTTAGTCCTTACACAACTGTCTGAGGTAGATAATGAACCTTGCCCTTTAATCAATGAAGAAATCTCGATCATTTTGAACGCATGAAGAAAATGCAATCACATGGCTCATGAGTAGCAGGGAAAGTGCCCTAATCCATGGCTCTGGGAAGGCAGCCCCAGCATGAGGTGATTTCAGTCCCCATCTTTGGAGGAGTGGTAGCTTGAAGGGTCTCCAGCAAGTCAACCTCATGCAGCTGCAACGTTGGGAATCTTCTAACAAAACTCATGGGTTTTAGCTGAGCAGCGGCATGCTGTGGCCGTTACTCTGGCTTCCTGTAAATAAAATCCAGTTGGCATTGAGAACCTGTCCAGGCTACAGCGGGCTGTTTCATGTCCAGTAGTGATACTGGCAGCAGAAACCCTGAGGACCTGCTCCCAGAAGGAACTTAGATGTCATGTGATCTTGTCTGGCCTGCATTTGCTCCCTATGGGTCTCCGTGTCTGGCCTGGCTCTTGGTGTCCTTGCTTCTTCGTGGGTGCTGCCTGCCTGCCGGGCTGGACTGTGTGTCTGGTGTGTTTCTTTTGCAGTGATGATCTAGTAGCTTTCATGATGAGTCTGGCACATAGTGTCTGTGCAGGCCCCATCCACACCATAGCTTGGAGCAAGTGCTGGCCTTGCTCCTCCAGTCTTGCCTGACCTTAGGTGGCTCCGTGTTGACAGCTACATCTTCCTCACTGGCCCCTGCACCTGTTCCTGCTTCTGTCTCTTATGCTAGGTGGACCAGCCAGACGCTGCCACCTGAAGTACTCACAGAGACAGACACCCGTAAGCCTGATTATAATGAGGCTGTCTGTGGATTTTTCTTTTTAAGCTTCCAAGCAAGTGCAGAGAAAACTACCCCCCGCAGGGGCAAAATCCGAGAGAGGTAATTCTGGGTAGTGAACCCTGGGTGGGCAGACCCTCTTAGTGTGTGTTCTGACCCTGTGCTTGTCTGCAAGGCTGGGAGGGCCTGTTGCTTGCAACCCAGGCTACCTTAGAGAGGCCCAGACTTCTCAAGTGTGGTTTGTACTGGGGGCATCAGTGGACACACATCCAGTGTGTTTGTGTTTACTTCAAGAACCGGGGTAAGAACCAGGGCTATTTGTGGGGTGGGAAACGTGAGCCTGGAGACACAGATGGGAGCCTTGGAGGTTTGGACTGTCTCAAACCTAAGTTCCAGTGGGGAAGTATCACCGGTAGGCAGAGGGTTTTGCTGGGCTGAGTTTTTTGTTTTGTTTGTTAAGAAATGGCATTTCAGGGCTAGGAGATGCCTCCTTTGGAAGAGCAGCCAATGCCCTTAACTCTTGAGACACCTTTCCACTCCATCCCCAAAATAAGGGGGATTTGCCATTCTCAAAATAAGGTCTTGAGAGCTCTGATCTCCTGCATCTATCAGATGAGGACATGGGCACAATAGCGGCCATTGGCTCAGCCAAGGTTTCTTTACAAGTGTCGGGAAAAGAACGTAAGCCACCACCATCCTGTCTACCTGGGAACATGGAGGCAGAACTGACCCCATCGTTATCAGTGGCTCCACATTTCACAGAACTTAACAGCTTTAGGGATTCCTAAGACTTGGAACTAGAAACTGCACATTGATGTTTAGGCAGAGATTGGCTGCAGTAAGTGCATTTGCTATGACGCGTCTCACTGTAGGTAGAGAAGCTTAAGAAAGGCCAGTTTTGCGGGCCTTGGTGGCTCAGTGAACTCTAGGTGTGTCTGAGGCATCTGAGTACTATGAGAGAAGTGTGTGGGGGTGAAGGACTCAGGGAGGAGGGTGGACAGAGCCTGCTGAGAAGTCCAGACAGCCTTCCTGGCAGCTGATGGTATTGGGAAAGGTGTGTGCAGAAGGGCATTCCCAGACTGGAACAGCAAGGTAGGGCTCAGCATGTGGGGTGTGGCTTGTATGGAAAGCTCTGGGCAGGCGGTTCATACACTGTTCTGCAGCCCTATGGTTAGAGGAGCCCCGGATGTGCCAATAGCCTGAAACCTACCCTGTGGGGGATGGGTCAGGAGTATCCCAGCTTGAAGGCCGCAGTAGGGCCCTGCCATTGATCACCTCAGTTAAGGAAGGACGGGTAGAAGTGGGTTTGTGGACCAGCACCCAATCACTTCCTTTTCCAAGGCAAGGCCTCTCAGCTCAGCGAAAGTGACTGACACACAGCTAGCTAGAAACCACCTCCTGACTTCAAGACACTTGGGGACTTGGGGATAGTTGGGCCATCCCCAGGAGCACAGATGAAAATGCAAGTGCTTTATTGGGAAGTAGTGGTCACCGTATCTAAGTGACACGGCGGGAGCAGATGCTTCTCCACAGAAGGTCCTCTCCCAGATCTCCCTCTGGATCCTCGCAGTGAGCTCCCACTCCAGTGGCTTCAGGGATTTTGCAGACCCCCGTCCACCTGTCCTCAGACCCTTCCTCTCTCCCCACCCTCCAGGAGAAACACCAAAATCCGGAGAACGCAGCGGCTACAGCAGCCCTGGCTCCCCTGGGACCCCTGGCAGTCGCTCCCGCACCCCATCCCTACCAACGCCGCCCACCCGGGAGCCCAAGAAGGTGGCAGTGGTCCGCACTCCCCCCAAGTCGCCATCTGCCAGTAAGAGCCGCCTGCAGACTGCCCCTGTACCCATGCCAGACCTGAAGAATGTCAGGTCCAAGATTGGCTCCACCGAGAATCTGAAGCACCAGCCAGGAGGTGGGAAGGTAAGGGCGTGGCCAGCCATGCGGTCGGGTCGGGGTGCAGCCTCCAAACCAGCCCAGACGAGTCTCTAGCCAGACTTGGCTTCTACCCCCAGAACACACAGACCACCAAAGCACTGGCTCCTCCCTTCCTCTCTTCAACCTTCCTGATTGGACGATGGATTTCACTGGGTACCGCCCAGGTTGGGCTTGGCCTTCCCCCACGGTTCTGGGGGAAATTCGAGGTTTTCATATGAGCAGCTGGTTGGTTCTATGGCTATCATGAAATTTCTATGCCCACAGGCACCCCCTTCCTTGCTTTCCATCTGAGCATTGCTCAGGTTAACTGACATGTCCTCAGGGTTCTAGAATATGTAACTGAGAGAGTGTGTGGGCGTCCGCAGGGCTGATCCTCCCCCCCCCCAAACAAGTTTGTCCTGAGTCCCGTCCCCCCCCACCCCGGTGCACCCCGATGACTCACCTGAGTCCGAGTCCAAGTCTCATTTTATGAAGACATTAGCCCTGTGAGATTAGGGTCACTCTCTTGACCTCATTTAAACACAGCCGTTGCTCTAAAGGCCTTATCTCCAAACAGTCACATTGTGAAGTTGGGGTGTCAGCATACAAATGAGGAAGTGCATAGTATGTCCCCATCCCAACCGGCACTAGGGCAAAGGGAGGCCAGTGAGGGGTGTGGAGCTGTGAACGGTTGCTGAGACTGCTGTCCTTGTCTTCTGGGCTTCCTCAAACTGGAGCAATACACCCCCTGAGGTGCTGAGGGCCAAGGCTTACCCCCATGGGCACAGTGGACGCTTCCCCACACCTGCATTTGCTTGGGGCTAGTTCCTGGAGGGAAGCTGGCCATAGCCCCCATGGGCACCCTCCCTGAAGCCCTGTGTTTTGCTGTGGGGCAGCCTTCCACCCTCCTGTTGGCTCTGCAGTGTGGTTTGTACATCATTTGGCTCAAAGGACACAGCTCATGGCTTCTCCAGGCCAGAGGCTGGCTTTAGGCTCAGTCTTACCATCTCACTAACGCTGCTGGGTATCCTAGCTTGTGACCCCTCAGAGTCACCCGTGTTCTCCTACCCCCGAAGAGACTTACCTGCCTCCTTCAGAAGGGGCCCTGGAGCCAGGCATGATGCTAGAGAGGATGGATCAAAAGTTTGAGGACTACTGGAGGCCCTGGCTCCAAAAAAGAGACAAGTGCATGGCGGTATGAACCCTTAATCCCAGCAGTCAGGAGACAAAGTCAGGTAGATCTGTGAGTTCCAGGTCAATCAGGTCTATACAGTGATCTCCAGGCTAGCCAGGGCTATATGTGAAACCCTGCATCAAAGAAGAGAAAAAGGAAAGAGAGGAGGGAGAGGAGGAAGAAACCCACAAAGCCACTTGCTCACCTCTGAGGAAAAGGAACAACAAGGTGACAATGATTTCTTGTAGCAACAAAGACGCGGTGTCCATCAGCATCTTCCTGGCCCCAGGCCCAGGCCCTGGAGCTCTTCTGCTAGCCACCAGCTGCCCACAACCCTACTGACAGGGTGAAGCTGTGGGCGTGGAAGTGCATCCTCCATGAGGAAGAGGGCCAGTGGGCAGAAGAGGATGTGTGTTCAGAGTGCCTGGTCCAGCAGCCCTTGAGTGCCACCGCACCCCTGAATCAGGCCTGCGCAAAGGCCCCACTTGTGGAGGAGAAGATGCTGGCCACTTATTTGTTGCTCACTTATTGCATTGCTGGGGATGCTGGAGGGAGATGGAATAGTCACACTCTGTAACAGCAGCCCTGGTTTCATGAGAGATCCGGAGTGTCCTCATTGTGGCTTACATATGGTTTATAGAAGGAAGGGTTCGTGGGACCCCTGTGGCTTTGCCAGGGCCTCAGCAGAGTGACTCCGAAGCCACGTGGAAACTCTGGCCAGCACCACAGCTGCCATCCGTCATTTGACTCCATGGTCTCCAGACTCCCCGTCCTCATCCACTTCTGGAAAATGACTGACAGGGCTGGCAAGATAGGTCAGAGGGTTAGAGTACATGTCATCAAGCCAGATGATTGAATGACCTCCAGAAGCCACGTCTATGGAGAGAGAACTGACCCCTGCAGGTTGTCCTCTGACACGTGCGCACACACATGCACAATAGATTAAAAAATGTCAAAACAAAAACAAGTGTCCTCCGGGAAGCCGCATCTCAGGACCCCTGTGACTGTCACTATCCTAGGTGACAGGACCTAGGGGTGCCCAGAATCTATAAGCAGCCTGACTGGTTCTCCTATCTTATTCCCCAGCCATAGCCCCCAGAGTAGGGGGCAGACCCATCAGGGCCTTTGGGGGACACATGGTACACAGTGCCTGCAACTCAGAGACCCCGAAGCAGACACAGCCTCTCTGTCCTCTTTCCACCAGGCCAGATGCCACTCCAGTTTTGGCCGCTGCCAGGCTGTCTGTCCTGCGCCTTCCCTCTTTGTTCCCTGCTGAATCTTCCTGCTCCCATTGGTTCTGGTCCTGGACGGTGGCTCCTCCAGCACTGTGTCCAGGGGGCTCTGTGACTCTGCCAACCCCAAGCTGTGTTTCTCAGCCTCAGCTCTGCTACCTACCCCTGGGGAAACTCTGGTTCTTGCTTTGTCCTTCCCTCATCTCTCTCTTCCGCCTGGGAAGTTCACCCTGGACTCCCCTGTCTAATTAGTCTTGAACACCCTGATATATGGTAACTGAAGGGAACTCCGCATCCCATGAGGGCTTGAGGGCAGTGAATCTTTGTGGAACAGAGCTGCTGGATGTCAGCAAGGACTCAGCAGAGCCTTCAGTGTGGGTGGAGGGTGGCTGTCCTGTGGGCCCCTGCCCGTTGTGGGGTGGCTTGCCAGGCAGTTCATTCAAATGAATACCAGGAACTGGACTGAACAAGGAGTACAGCATTCTGCAATGTTCTGTAGAAGGAAAGGGTTTGCCCTGCCTCGGCTGAGGAGTTGTGCTGGGTTGTAATGACTTGCCCATATCCACAGAGGGCTAGAAGAAACAGAGTGACTTGCCCTGGGACTTCAGGGGTGACAGAGCCCAGGGACAGCCTCCCTCACATTCTATGAGGGCAGGGGGATTGTCTGGACAAGCCCTCAGCCCTGCAAGCTAAGAGCGGCACGATGACAAGCCATTTATTCCGGGTTGATGAACAAGGCCTGTAACACCCGCTGACGAAAGATTCCAGAGCTGAACTGACATTTGGGTTCCTGGAATGTTTGCTTAGTGAGACCCTACCTCAAAATAATTATTGACCATGAAAGGGCAAAATTCCAAGAGTCTGAAGAACAGGACGAGAGATGTGGTCCCATTAGAAGGGTGCTTGCCTAGCATGCATGAAGCCCTGGGTTCAGTCCCCAGCACTGAATAAAATCTTCATGGTAGTGGGCAAACAGTAAATCCCAGAACTCCAGAGGACGCAGGAGGATGAGAAGTTCAAGGTCGAACTCCACTACTTGAAGAATTCAAGGATAGCCTGGGTTATATGAGAACTTGTCTTTATTATTATTATTATTATTATTATTATTATTATTATTATTAATAGTATTTTTGTTTGTTTTTTTTTTTTGAGGCAGGGTTTCTCCATGTACCTTTGGAGCCTGTCACTCTGTAGAGCCGGGTGGCCTGGAACTCACAGAGATCCGCCTGCCTCTGCCTCCTGAATGCTGGGATTAAAGGTGTGCTTGCAATCCTAGCACCTGAGAAGCTGAGGCAGGAGGATGCCTAGCCTGGGCTCCATATCAAGACCATTGTAAAAGATGTCTTTCTGCTTTGAGCTTTTTTCTGGGCGTCCATGATTTCCTGCTATGAGCATGTTTCACCATGAGACTACACAGTGAGGTGCTGTTAAAGAAAAATGCGGCCAATCAGAGGACCTCACCAGAGAACACAGAGAATGAGTGTGGGGTTGGGAGTCGAGAGAAGAGCCACAGCCGCTTGGAAGTTCTCTTAAACATTTAATGCTGTTGTCTACCCCAGCATCACTGTACCCACCAGGGAAGGAGCCTACTCAGCCCCATTGTAACCCCAGGGAGGGACAAGAATGTTTCTAAGGTATAGCCCAGATAGTAAAGTAAGAGATGAAAGGACAAGCTAGGGGTGTGGCTGGGGGGGGCAGGTCCTATCCTGACACCAACACCAAAACTGTAGCCTGGGACCCTCGAGAGTATGTCTTGTTTTGTTGCTTTAAGACATGGTGGCTCCCGCCCATAATCCCAGCACTCAGGAAGTAGAGGTAGGAGAATCAGGAATTTAAGGTCATCCTTGGCTTCAGAGTGAGTCCCAGGTTAGCCTCAGCTACATGAGACCCTGTTCCAGAATCAATCAATTAATCAACAGATAAATGCTTTCACATGGGGGTCTACTTATTAAGGGTTTAAGTTGCCCTAATGATCTAGTTAGGCCTTAAAGAAAAATAAACACCAGTCATGCCTATAACCCCAGTACTTGGGAGGCTGAGGCAGGAGAATCATGGTGCAAATGTATGTAGCTTCCTCTACACAGCAAGTTAAGGCCAGCCTGTCTTAAAAAACTAAATACCATTAGTACTAATAATAGGCCAGTGAGATGGCTCAGCAGGTAAAGGCAGAGGCAGGTGGCTCTGTGAGTTAAGGGCCAGCCTGGTCTTCTACAGCCAGAGCTGTATAGTGAGACCCTGTCTTAAAGAGAGACAGACAGAGAGAGAGGGAGGGAAGAACTTTTTTCCTAACCAGCCTTTAGTTAGTGTTGTTAGCGCTCAAGCATGGAAGCAGCCAGGTTAACTGAACCTCCAGGTCCCACTCAGGACTTAACCTGAGAGTCCCTCAAATCAAAAGCTTGCAGAGCCTGGAAGCACCAAGGGCAAAGGGTTGTTATATTACAAATGACCACAAGATGGCGATAGAGTGCTGTAAACTGCAGAATCCATTCCTGGACCACCCACAGTTGTTGCTTCCTTCTCTGAAAGTGTGTTGTGATTTTCTGAGTGGTCTTCTTTCCTAGCCCCTTGGTCTTTTTCTGTATCTCATCTTCGTCCATTTCTTTCTGTTTCTGCCTGCCCATCCTTCTTCCCCTTTACCACCGGAAATATGAAAATACAAAAGTTTTTTTTTTTTTTTTTTAATTTAACATTCGTGTGTGTGTGTGTGTGTGTGTGTGTGTGTGTGTGTGTGTGTGTGTGTGTAGGGCTGGGAATTGCAAATGTTGTGTAGGGCTGGGAATTGCAAATGTTTTAAATGCAACATATTCACTGACACAGAGAAAAGAGTCATCATTTTTCTCATGTGGTTAAGAATGGCCTTGAACTTCTGATATTGTTGTTCTACCTCCCACATGCTAAGATTGCAGGCTTGCAGTACCACATCCGGTTTTATATAGCGTGAGGGCTTGAACCCAGGGCCTTATGCATGCTGGGAAAATCCTCTACCAACTGACCTATCTCTCTAGCCACTGTTGAAGGGCAGCCTTAATAGTGTGTGGCCTTGGTATTTCATTGCCATTCACAGGTTGGCTGGACTGAATATAAGCAGGCTTTCTGCGTCCATCCCCAAGCTGATCACCTTGGACTTTAAGGCAAGGCTTTCTGTTGCCCACACCAGGTTATTTTCTAAATGGGGCATTGCCCAGGCCCACTGTCCAAGCACAGCTAGCACCAGCAGTATGGGAGCTCCTTGGTCTAGAGGCTCGGAGCCAAGAAGGGATCCCCTGAGAATTCTAAACCCAAGCGGAACCAGAACAAAGCCCACCAAGGACATGGCTTTGTGGTCTCTGGGAAGTGGTAAACTAAAGTAGACCCAGCCGAGTCCTCGGAACCGCTCCCTGGCTGCCCACGTTTGCCTTGTGAACAGGAGGCCCTCGGCTGGAAACATCCTCTTTTCCCTCAGGGTATTTCCAGTGTCTAGTCAGAGCCAAGGCCCAGTACGGTAGAACAGTGCTTTCACAATGCTAAGCACTGTCCTCTTCTCCACGCTCTGTAAATCTGAGCCCCAGTGAAGGGCATTGGCTAAATGTGGCCGCTAACAGTAACTCGGGGCTGCTTTGTAAATATCGGTCTAGTGCCAAACCCCACAAAAGCATGGTCCTTTCCTGTGGGGTTAGAAGAAGAACAAACCACCCAGGGAGCAGGGTGTCTTCATGTATGTTGCAGACTGTGTATGATTGCTTAATGTCCTTTGACTAATCTGGTTTCTTTGTATCCCCTTCCTCCAAAAGCTTTTCTTTTCTTTAATAAGGAGTTATGTAATCAATCATGTTTCCTTTTTCTCTTTGGCTTCCAGGAAGCTCAGTACTGAATATAATAGCACTTAATGCCTAGTTCAGTGACCTCCCTTTATTGTAATGTCGTCCTTTTATGTCTGTTTGTTTTAACTGAGTGTGTGTTTTCTTTTTCTTTTCTTTTGTTTTTTGTTTTTGTTTTTTAAGACAGGGTTTCTCTGTGGCTTTGGAGCTTTGGAGTCTGTCCTGGAATTAGCTCTTGTAGACCAGGCTGGTCTCAAACTGGCAGAGATCCAACTGCCTCTGCCTCCCAAGTGCTGGGATTAAAGGTGTTCATCACCACCACCTGGCTAGTGTGTGTTTTCTAATTCTAAACTGTTTCCCTTCTGGTTTTCTTTTTCATTTTTGTTTTCAAAACAGGGTTTCTCTGTGTAGCTGTGGCTGGTCTGGAACTTGTTCTGTAGACCAGACTGGCCGCAAACTCATAGGGATTGGCCTCCTGAGCACTGGGACTAAGGGCATGTGCCACTACCACCGGCTCATTTTTATTTCTATACAGGTCTCATCCTATGGGTCAGGCTGGCCTGGAACTCACTATGTATGTAGTTCAGGGTAACCTTGAACTAACAACATATCCTCCTGCCTCAGACAGACAGGGATAAGCATGTGCCACAACACTTGGCTTCCTGTCTGTTTTTGAAAGTAGGCAGATATGCTTCAGGACTTCATCCAGTGAAAGTTACCAGTAAAGTTGATCATGGAGGTACTCAAGTGTCATCCCTGCCTCTAGAGGCTGAGGCAAGAGGGTGAGGAGTTCAAGGTCATCTTGGTGTATAGCAGGTTTGAGGCTGGCTTGGGCTATATGAGACCCTGTCTCAAAAACAAAAGAAAAAAGAATAAAACCACACACACACACACACACACACACACACACACTATAGCAGCTGCCATCTATGGGCAGTTGATATGTGCAGGCCTTGTTCTCAAGGCAACCCAGAGGCAGCTGCATTTTACCTCTTACATGTTCTGGGGTATCAGTGTTGTCGGCAGCCCCAGTTTGTGGGTGAGGAAGCTGAGCTACAGAGGGGCTTCACGGCTACTCAAGACCAGCAGTTGAGTGGGGTCCATACCCAAATTTTTAGTTCCTGCCTATGTCCTCAACCAGGAAGCGCTTGCCCCTGCCTGGAAGTCACCTCCTGGGTGTGAGCCAAGTATGGGCAGCACCACAAACTGTCTGTCAGCAGAGAGCCCAGGGAGGATTAACCACCCTTTCAGGAGGCCATTCGGAGGGTTAGCTTGAGAGGTTCTAGAGCACTTAGCATTTTGACTTACAAATCCTATTTCTAGAAGTCTATGCTATAAAAAATGATCCACAATACAGAAAAATTCCTTGCCAAAATATGTTCACAGTGGTCTGTTTATACTGCTTAATAAACATGGAGTCAGTGGAAATATTGGTGGCTCAGGAACAGTCCATACAGTGAGGATGCTTATGGTGACAGTATTACCCTTTTTGGCCAGAAGGTATGAAGCAGAGGGTAAGCCAGCTCCGGAAGTGGAGGAGGGGGCTATGGTGTTTAAGGTCATCCCTCTACACAGTGAGTTTTGAGACAAGCCTGTGACACATGAGACTCTCTTTCCAAAAGCTGAAAAACATAACTGCAAAAAGAAAAAGCAAAATACTTTTTTAGCTACTTAAACCAGATTTCCAATATTCAAACCCTCGGTCAGGGTTAGGTCTAGACTTTCTTCAGGGCCCCAAGGGTAAAGATCAGCCAGGAGCACTTCCTGGAGCTCCTCATGTGAGAACACAGCTGTCACCTCAAAGGGAAGGAGAGCTTATTCTGAAGCCAAATTGAGTGACCATGGCCCCCCAAACATGAATTTAGGTCACTCCCAAATACTATATTCTGACCTGGTAATAGTGTAGCGAAGGTTTCTTAGTAATACAATAAAAAAATAAAATTATAAATGGAGGTAGTTTAATTTTGTTTCAAACCTAAAGCTAAGCTGGTCAGGTAGTGCATACCTTTAATCCCATCATTTGGGAGGCAGAGGCTGGTGGATCTCTGTAAGTGCAGGGCTAGCCTGCTCTACATAATGAATTTCAGCACAGCCAGGGCTACACAGAGAGACCCTGTCTCAAAACATACTCCCCTAAAAACCCTAAAAAGTATTGCATGTATGAGTGTGTGTGTGTGTGTGCAAGCATGCACGCTCATGCGTGCCACTGCATGCTTGTGGGAGTCAGAGGACTTGTGGGAATGTGGTGGCAGCTGTCTTTACCCTCACTAAGCCATCCGCCAGCTCAGCTCAAGATAATCTGGCTGGAAACCTTTAACATTCCAACTCTTCAGCCGTGCAGAATCTTCTGCGTTGACCTGTACTGGTGCGGCTGTTGGGTTTTGTTGTTTTTCTTTGGGAACTTGACACAGGGGACTCTCTACACTTGTCACTCCACGCTAGCCTGGTAGCCACCCCAGTCCCAGTCATATTATCTTCCAGGTCCATTCTGTGATATCCAAGTCTAGTAGGTGTGCAGTGTACCTTCCTGGGCAGCTTCTTTGCATCCCCAAAGAGGCGGGGCTCAGACCTGGTTCTCCCAGCAGCCCACAGGTCAGGGGTCAGTGCTCTGGGTGTGGTCATCACTCATTCTTTTTTCTGGCTATCAAAGGTGCAGATAATTAATAAGAAGCTGGATCTTAGCAACGTCCAGTCCAAGTGTGGCTCAAAGGACAATATCAAACACGTCCCGGGCGGCGGCAGTGTGAGTACTGTCACACACTCTCTGTGCGGTGTACTGCAGCCTTCGCTGTGAGAGGTGTCATGAGTGTGTACTTGTGAGACATTGCAGAGAATAAATCACCACAGGCTCAGGGCCTCCTGTGTCCCTACACTTACGTTTCCTGTCCCCAGACTCTCCTCCCCATGTTCAATGGGGGGGGGGTTCAGCAGAATAGGGACAGCCATTGGCCCCCGCTGGCCCTTCCCTGAGAAACTGTGTCCCCACAGTACCATGCCCATGCTCCTAAAAGCCCCGTAGCCTATTAGAAATGGGCCTGAAGGCTGTGGCCCCCACGACCAGACTGCCACCTCTTCCCCCATCTCTGGGGCAGGTTCTGCTGTGGATGGACAGTCCATATGATCCTGATAGGACTTCCTATCCCATGTCAAGGGCAGAGAGGGTCATAGCCACCCTAGTCACCCTCCATTTCTTGTCTGGGTCTTCATCTTCAAGAGAGGAATCTATTCTTACGCCTCAGTTAAAGTTTAAAACCAGCTCCTCCCTCCCCCCAATACAGGGACTCTGGTTGCAAATAGCCTAATAGATTGGTCATGGATGGTAGCTATTGCCTATGTTCAGTTTGCCAGGGAAAGACTTAGGCTTTTAAATCTGTTCCCCTCTGACACCCCTGAGGACCCATCTTATCCCCAGTGAGTCTGTGTGGGATGTTCTCAGGCTCCCTTGATGGGCTTAGAGACTCTGTCGTCCTCCAGGCTGGCCTGTGCCCACAGGGCAGGACACGCAAACTGTCGTCAGGGTTTTCCTCTCTAGCTCCCTCCTCCCCAGCTCTGGGTCAGTCCCAGGAGGGCCCAGGCTCTCTGAGAGAGTCTTGTGATTGCTGGGACACTGGGATGGGCTCTTTGCAGAAAGTGCCTTGGCCCACAGGGTTTTATTCTTGCAATGTGCCTCTGCCTCCTGCCGTGGCACCTGCCCTGCCTTCTGACTCTTGGACCTTTGGCCCCAGAGCAGCAAGTGCTGGCCCTGTGGCTACTGCTTCTCACGCTTACAGTGTCTGCCGCCTCCTCTGTCCTCCGCTCCCTGCCGTTCCTGCCACCCCCTCATGCTTTTTTTTTCCTTCAGGAGAGGCGTGGCTGTTGGCTACACTGTAGTTACTGCCCAGCCTGATGCCCTCCTAATGTACACCCAATAAACTATACTAGAAAGAGATGGGTGTGGGGGAAAGAGATGGTCACTAAGGACTCCCATAGCTGTCGTTGTCCCTGGGCCCTTTCATGTTGTCATTTAGGCTATGTTGACTTTCCAGCCCAGCCTGCTTTGGCTGGGAAGGAAAAGCAGGGGCATCTGGCTTGGCTCAGCTTTGGTTTGCTGCTGGGGCTGAGGACTCTGGCTCCAGTGGGCTGCAGCGGGCAGATGCTCCTGCAGGGGAAGTTGGGAAGAACCAGCTCAGGGCAGCTGTGGTCACATGCTGATTGCCTGATGATGCTCCAGTGCCCAGGATTATCAGGGAATTTTCTAGTGTGTGTCAGCCTGTGACCTAGCCTATGACCTTATTAGAGAGTCACATGATAGTCTGGGCTGACCAAGAGGGCCGTCCTTGGCCTGTGGCCACTGTTGACTACAGGATGGACCTGTGGAGAAAGGGCTCTTGAGGGTAGGGGCTAGTGGTTATAGCCTCTGGCATTTTGGGTTTCAGGATCCCTGGTCTAGGCTGCACATCTGGCTTGCTGCTGGCTCTAAGGCCAGGGATCTTGCAGCAGGCTGGCTGTTCCCCCATCTGCACCTCCTGGCTGTGCTGTGGCCTCCTCTCTAGGGCAGCTTCCCCATGCCCCGTACATCCTTTCTCCTCTGGCCATTCCGTTGCATCATCTCTTACCCCTGCCACGTCCTGGTCTTGGCACTCAAGTGAGTCTACCTGGGCTAGAGGGAAGAGACGAGGCTCTGGTCCCTGTAGCATCCCTGTCCCTTCTTGCAGGTCTCTGGCTCCCATGGGCTGCAGAGGGCTGATGCTCCTGCAGGGGAGCCAACCCCTTAGCTTTCCCATCATCACCTGCTCCAGAACTCCCTCTGTACCCTGGTTCTGTTTGCAGAAGGTCCTTGGGACCATCTGATCTTCACCCACCTTCGCAGGGGCAGGGTGACACCCCAGCACTGACATGTGAGGCCACAGCTCTCCTTTTCCATCAGGTCCATTAGCAAAAAAAGAAGCAAGCGCGTGCACACACACACACACACACACACACAATACCACACAATACACACACACATACAACACACACACAATATACACACACACTATACCACACAATACACACACACACAATATACACACACACTACACCACACAGTACACACACACAACACACACACACACACACCCCACAACACAATACAACATACCATCAGCACAGCTATCTAGGAACATGAGAGGGATTTGTCCACTTAGACCTATGCAAACTTCCATCTTGCTTTACCAACTCTCACACATGAGGCCACCCCTCTCCCAGGACAGGAAATGGCACTCTCCCTCAGTGGAATGACCCCACTCGTGGGATTTGGAAGGTGGCAGTTAGTGACCAGCGAGCCCTACCTGCTTGGGTGGCCTCTTTCAGGGTGTCCTCTCAGGAAGCCACTGCCATCCCCTACCCCCAGGCAGGCACTGTTGCTGGGTCACGTGAAGGATCCTAGGCTGGCAGGTCCCCCCGTGTGTCCTGTCTGCTCACTCACGCTTGCTGAGACACTAACCCTGTGATTTCTGCTGTGTGCCTGCCCTCCTTGTCCATGCCGCTTTTTCAGTAGAGGATGAAGTGTCCAGGAGACTGTGTGCCCAGACACCATGTGGCTCTTACCCTGAGTCATAGCACTGTCCTGGGTCCTGTTTGCCAACTGGTGGTCCAGGACCCTGGATGAAGCACACGCATCCTTGTCGCCTCTTCTCTGAGTCTTTTCCAGGGAGATCATCTGGAAGCTGCATACGCCTGTCGCTTCTTCCTCTACTGTGTGTGACCGGTCTTTTCTCAATGACAGGATTTGTGTTTATATACTTAAATATCTGCTAAGTGGAGGTTGCGGTCACACACAAGGACCAGGCACCCTGCTTTTCCATGAGAGTTTCTTGGGTTTCTGGGTTTGAACATATTCAGGTCCCCCAGTTACTCTGTGAGAGCCCAGCTTCCTGGGGGACAGGGATTGGATGAATTTGGGGAGCATATTTTCCTCCCTGAATGGGGTGTATCCAGTAGTTAAAGGGAGTCACTGACAAGTGGTCCTTTGGGCTTTGCATTGTGTTACATCCCTAGTAACATAATCCCCTTTATGCTCTGTCTCCTTCCCACCCTCTCTGACCTGCAGGTGCAAATAGTCTACAAACCAGTGGACCTGAGCAAGGTGACCTCCAAGTGTGGCTCCTTAGGCAACATCCATCACAAACCAGGTAGCCCTTGAGGAAGGAAGGCTGGCCTGGCAGGTGCTTCCTGGAGTCGGCCAACCCGAGCAGAGAACATGAAAATGTGAAAGTGCTGTGTGGCTTGGGAGATGTGACCCTGCTGGCTCCCGAGCTGGGCTTTTCCAGCCTAGACAAGGGCTGGAGAAAAAGGAGGAGCTGGTTCCGGATTCTATCTTGTGGCTCTCCGGAAAAGTCTGTAAAAGAGGACCAGCCATGGGACTGTTTGGGTCCCCAAACAAAGGCCAGCTCTGTGGATGTCTCAGCCTTGTCCCAGCCAGCATGGGGGAACACTTCATCAACAGCTATAAGACCTTTCCGGGCTGTGTCCTACCCTCATGGTGGCTTTGTTTAAACAAAGCACCCTTCCCAGGAAAGCAGTACAGGTCACTTCCCCCTGCCATCCCCTGGTGTGGTGACCCCAGTCAAAGAGGGAGTGGGGTTAGGGTCTCTCCTCATTGTGCATTTGACCTGCAGTTCCATCCAAGGTCTAGAGGGGTTGTGGCCTATAGGATGTTCATATGAAAATCTTCACCACTGGAAGGCATTCAGTTTAGAGTGCAGCATGTCTTCTCCTGGCCAAGCTTCCTGTACCTTTGAACCATCTCAGAAGGAAAATTTTGCAGAGTAAATACCCGATATACATCTCGATTAGAGATGGGGCAGGTGATTTGGAAGCCTTACAAGGGCTCCCATGTGCCTAAGCCTCCTTCTAGATAAAGTAGAGCCCTGGTAACTCCAAGAAGGTAGGCTGTTCTTGTAATCACTGACCAGCCTCTGTCGGAGTCAGAATGGGCACATTATGAATGTTCCCCTCCAGAATGGTGATACCTGACCTGGTTTTTATCAAGCCCCCAGCAGCCCCAGGCACTTTGCTCTTCAGGCTGTGACCTCATTTAATATATACTGAGTCCCCCAGACCCCGGGAGATGACAAGAGGCTCTTGTGTGGGTTGTGTTCCAGGAGGTGGCCAGGTGGAAGTAAAGTCTGAGAAGCTGGACTTCAAGGACAGAGTCCAGTCGAAGATTGGTTCCTTGGATAATATCACCCATGTCCCTGGAGGAGGGAATAAGAAGGTAAAGAGGGACAAATGGGGGGTCACATGGTGATATGGGGGTTAATGGAGTGGACAAGGCTGGTCCTAGAGGGTCCCAGATGGACTATCTAGAGATAGATTCTTCCCCTCAGCTCAGTGTACCAAGAACAAGGCATGAGACCAAAGGCAGACCTTTCCCACTAATTACAGGAAAGCTGGAGCAAAACTGACACTGGCTGAGGCTGTGGCTCAGCTGGGAGAGTGCTTGCCCAGCATGCACAGAGCCCTGGGTTCTAACCCCAGCACTGAGCACTGCATAGACTGTAATTTGTAATCCCAGGTGGAGGCAGGAAGATCAGGAGTTCAAGATCACCCTCCGCTACATATTAGGTTTCAGGACAGCCTGTGCTACATGAGATTTGCACCGCACAGACAGACAAAACCAGTGGTTCTGAAGAGAAGTGTTCACTCTGGGGCTGCCAGGTCTTGAATTGCCAACTGTGTCTGGTCTCCAAGCCGAGGAGAGTATGTATGGAGTATGGGAACACTAAGGCACACGTGTGTGGCTCTGAGCAAGCTCCTCTAGCACCCAACACAGGGTATGACTGTAGGGCTGCCCTGGTTTTTCCTGCAGCATAAACAACCGCCACACTTGCCTAGCCCCACATTGTGGAGGCAGCCTCCTCTGCAGGGTCCTCCCAGCAAATGACGGAACAGAGAGAATGTCCTGGAATCAGACTCAGCCTAGCATGAGAAAGGGTACTTAGCCAAGGTGGCTTGGCTCTCTTTCTACTTGGACATGTTGGGTGGCCCCTGGGAGTCCCCTGCCTGGCAAGTCCCCACAGCATCCTGCTTTCTTCAGCAGCCACATGTCTCTGCATCTGCTGCTTATATAAAGGCCCTGGTATTACTATGAAGCACCTGTTAGACTGCTGAAATGCCCAACACATGGCCAGCAGGAGAAAGGGTCTTGTCCCTAGATGACCTCCTAGGGCAGACCCTCTGATCTTCAGGACCCCAGAGCAGGAGACCCTCCAGTCTTGGAAACTATTGAAGCCAAAGAAAGGAGGCCATACCTGAGGGCTGCTGGGCAGGGCTCCCTTCTCTGGGTGGAGGGAAAGCATCCCCATCAAAGGCCAGAGCCCTGCCTGTTTTGCCATACACTGCTCAATTTAAATGCAAAGCCTCATACATATTGCTCCCATATGGGGCCTCTTGGCCCTAAGGTGCCACAGGAAGTCACAGGCCTGGTTCCACCTCAGTCTAATTCAGTGGGGCTGCAGCAGACCTGAGCCTGGAGATTCCCTGGGTAAGGGAGGTTCTCCACCAGCCTGGGAACTTCTGTGCCCTGGGGGAGACTCTGGGCAGGCAGGATTCCCTTGCAGACCTGATTTAGGCAGATCTTCAGCTCATTGGCCTGTTTTTCCTTCAGAGAACTACCTGCACCTGAGAGTGGAGTGAGAGCCAAACAAAAGGTTCCTGTACCCTAGGACTGGAGAACTGGAGACAGGTGGAGGCTATCGCAAGTTACTCAGAATCGGTGCCAGTCTGGGCTACACATGAGACAGTCTCACAAAGCCAGAAGCAGTGGGCACAGTGGTGCACACCTTTAATCCCAGCACTTGTCCTGCACTTGGGAGGCACAGGCAGGCGGATCTCTGTGGGTTTGAGGGCAGCATGGTCTACATAGTGAGTTCCAGGACAAGTAAGGCTAACAGAGCAATCCCTGTAACACACACACACACACAGGTGACTGTGTTCAACGGGTAAAGGTGCTTGCAGTCAAGCCTGATGCCCTGAGTTTGTTTCCCAGGCCCCAGATGTTAGAAGAGGACCAAATCCCACAAGTTGTCCTCTGATCTCCCCACATGCACTGGGACACATGAACACACACACACAATGTAAAAAGATTAGATAGCCAGGCATGGTGGCATTTGCCTTTAATCCCATCACGCAGGAGGCAGAAGCAGGCAGATCTCTGAGTTCTAGGCCAGCCTGGTCTACAAAGCAAGTTCCAGGACAGCCAGGGTTACAGCAAGAAACCCTATATCAAAAAATGAATGAGTGAAAATAAATAAGAAATTAATTAATTAATTAAAAGAGCGGTTTCCCCCCACCATAGACTCTGGCGTGGAGACAATTGGGGCTTGTCTGCTTCCCCCCAGTGTTTGTCGTTCATCTCACCCTAACTTCTTACAGATTGAAACCCACAAGCTGACCTTCCGAGAGAATGCCAAAGCCAAGACAGACCACGGAGCAGAAATTGTGTACAAGTCACCTGTGGTGTCTGGGGACACATCTCCTCGCCACCTCAGCAATGTGTCCTCCACAGGCAGCATCGACATGGCGGACTCAACACAGCTTGCCACACTAGCCGATGAAGTGTCCGCTTCCTTGGCCAAGCAGGGTTTGTGATCAAGCCCCCGGGGTGGTCAGTAATCGTGAAGAGAAGAGAGAGTGAGTGTGGGAAAAAAATGAATGATCTGGCCCCTCGCCCTCTGCCCTCCCCGCTGCTCCTCACAGACCGGCTGACCAGCTTTGTCACCTAACATGCTTTTGTGGCTCGGCTTTGGCTCGGGACTTCAAAATCAGCGATCGGAATGAGTAAATTTCATCGTTCCAAATTGATTTGTGGGCTAGTAATATTTTTTAAGAGAAACGTGTAAAAACATGGCCAAACCAACCTTTCCTTGGGCAATTGCTATTGATTTTTCCCACTCCCACCCCACCCCATTTTTGAGTAGTAGAGGGTGAAGGAGGCTCTGGAGGCTACTTCTGGGGAGTTTTGAGGGACTAGGGCAACTGATTGCCCGCAGCTCCATCCTAGGGGCATCAGGGACGGAGGCAGCAACAAAAGATTTGAAACTTGGTGTGTTCGTGGAGCTGTGGGCAGGTGACCCTAACATGTCTGGATGTGAAGGAGGGCTGAGGGAGTGAAGGCTGAGGGACAGATGGGCTGGGCATCTAGAGGAGAGAGGTGAGGAAGACAGGCCAAGAGAAGGGACACTGGCTCCTGCCAAGTAGCTTGTGAAGGACAGGTGGCCCCAGCTGCCAGCAGTCTTCGATGGCATAGCTGTCTGTTTGGCGCGGCCCTGGGGAGTGCTGTGGGTCTTTGTGCCCCTTCTGTAGGGCAGCCTGGGGGGGATGGGACAGTGGACAGAAAGACATCACAGGGCACTGGCTTCTTCCTCCCTCTCTGCAGGGTGGGAGCCCTGAGCTGTGGGGCTTACTCCTCCTCACGGAGAAACCTGCTTTACTGAGTTCTGAAGTTTGGAACTGTAGCCATGACTTTGGCCACTTCATAGACTTGGGACTTTAGGGCTAACCAGTTCTTTGTAAGGACTTGTGCCTCTTGGGGGACATCTGCCTGTTCTCAAGCCTGGTCGTCGGGCACTTCTGCAGTGTAAGGGATGGGGGGCGTTCTGGGATGAAGGTCCCAGGCCTCCCATCCCTCCTGCAGCCCCTCTACCTGTCCTATCACACCCACGTCTGCCATGAGAGCCAGTCACTGCCGTTCTTACATCATGTCTCACTGTCCTGAGTGCTCAGCCTCCCCCAGCCCCCACCCTGATCCCTGGGTAGACATGGGTAATCCCTGCTCTACACTAAGAGGTGGAGTCCTAGGGAGGCAAAGATTTGGGGCTCAGTCTCTAGTCCTGCGTTCCAGGAAATGATCCTGGACGCTTCCATCTGCTTTTTTAAACTTTAAATAGTGGTTGCCTCCTAGGCCTGGCCCTTTTCTCATGCTGGAGGCAGCAAGTCAATGTGCTGGCACTAATATGAGCAGGCAAGAATCCCAGGGCAGGGCCATACTCCTCCCATCTCTCGCTTCCACCCCAACTTGTGATTGCTAGCCTCCCAGAGCCCAGCCACCATTAAGTCCCGTTCACGTAATCAGCCCTCCATACCCCATTTTTGGGAGCATATCCCCTGGAAATGTTTTTCTTCTAGTCGCCATGGAAGCGGTGCTGCCTGCCCTGTTGGAGCAGCCAGACATCTCCTTAGATACAACCCTCTCTGTCTGCACCCTGTTGTTGCGTTGTAGTTGGATTTGTCTGTTTGTCTGGGTTCACCAGAGTGACTATGATAGTGAAAAGAAGAAAAAAAAAAAAAAAAAAAAAAAAAAAAAAAAAAGAGAAAAAAGAAAAAGAAAAAAAAAAAAAAAAGGACGCATGTATCTTCAAATATTTGTCAAGAGGTTCTAGCTCACCACCAGGGATGGAGGGCCTGAATCTTTCTTGTCTCCACTGGGACTCTGCTCCAGGCCAGTGCCAGGCTTCCCTGCCAGGACATGTTTTGAAGGGTTTCCTCTGCATCTGGGACCTCACAGACACTGGATTGTGACATTAGAGGTCTCTTAGCTGTCAAGGCCTGAAGCACAGGACCAGCTAGACTCTAGCTGCTAGAGACAGCAGGCTCCACCTGTCAGGGAGAGCTTCTGGCTGGCCTGTTTTGCAGAGTGAAGATGGTCCTCTCTAATCACAGCCTGAACTCCCACAGCGCCCTGAAAGACTGTCTAATAACTACTGCACCACAAGAGAAAAGGGCATCAGTGCCAGTTGGGAGAGCTGTGGCCCTAGAAATCCCATGACTCTCCAGAAAACATCCCTGGGCCCTCTCCAAGCCTCGGCTGCCTCACCACAGGGGTTGGCATGGACTGCCCCACTGAGGAAGGGGACATCTTAAAACAGACACTGCCTTGGTTTCCAAGGTGTCAGTCCACTGACCACAACTGAGCATCTCATACTGCTGTAGGGAAGAGGTCTAAGGAGAAGCTTAGGAAGATTCTGTCACTTTTGGCTTGGGTACAGATAAGGACAATGTGGAAGGCAGAAAGAAGGAAGCAGCCAGCCTTTCCCATTAAAGAACTGTGCGCCAGGATTATCTACGGTGAGGCTCCCCATGGCTGATGGACTTCAACTATCCTTAGAAACAGAGGGTCCGATGGAGAAAAGAAGTGTGGTTTGAAGGTCTGTGGTCCCTTCATCATGGCTACCTATCCGGGTTTTATAACTTACACCCATTTGCCCAGCCTGCAGTTCCTGCCCTTGAATGGGGGCACTCTGCTGCTCTCTTGTAGGGTGGTCAGCCCCCAAATCATGATTTGATCAGGTCAGTGCTGACAGGCTGTTTACAAAGAGATTCTGGCTTGTGACTTCAGTGAGGACAATCCCCCAAGGCCCTAGCATCTGTCCTTTCTTTCCATGCTTCTCCACTCCAGAGTCTTTGGGTGGGCTAGATAGGGGATACCATACTCCTGGTTCCTCCAAGCCCTTATTCACGTTATCAATAGTTCTATTTAAATTGACTTCAATGGTAAGAGTGTATCCTGTTTGAGATTGCTTGTGCTGTGGGGGGAGGGGGGGAGGAGGAACATGTTAAGAGTTCACATGGGCAAAGGGAAGCCTTGGAGTGTAGCCGTCTGTAACCTTGTTCATGACTTTGGCCACCTGCTAGATAAAGAGGTGCCATGAGGCTTCAGCCTGGAGGCTTGGCTGTCCCATTGACAGGTTTTCCCAAGGCAGAGGCAGCCAGCTAGTTCCCTGCCTTCCCAGCCAGGTATAGTTTCCAGGTTTGTGTAGGAATCTATGAACTACTCTCGCCTGCCGCCTCTTGTGGCATCCAGAGCCTTCATTAAAACCCTGGTTTCCTTCCCTGTGAGCCATTGGCACAACAGCATCATCTCTGGATTGCCTTCAGTTCTACAGCCTACACTACTAGCAGTGACCAAGACCCCTTGACACTAGTCTGTTCTGCAGAAAAATAAGTGGGGAAGAGGGCAGAGGTGGTAACCTACTATAGGTGTGTGGCTTTATGAGCCTTCACACTTCTCTCTGGCTTCTAGAAGGGTTACTTTGGGAAGTATCTCAGTCTCACCCTCCTAATGGATTATAGCCTGTGCAGTTACTATGCCAGGCATGATCTCCAGTGCTTCTAAGTCCCATGATTTCTTTGGCGATTTTGAGGGAGGGGGTGGGGGGGACAACACATGGAATCATCTTAGCTTAGCTTCCTGTCTGTGAAATGTCCATATAGTGTATTGTGTTTTAACAAACGATTTACATTGACTGTTGCTGTAAAAGTGAACTTGGAAATAAAGTTATTACTCTGATTAAACAAAATCTCTGTTCATGAATTCCAAATACAAGAAAATAGTTTGTAAGTTCTTTTTCATGATTAGAAAATTCAGAACAGGAAATGAAACTAAAAGCCAGACATTGGCGTGAAGGGATCCTGAATGCAGAGTAAGGACCTGGTTCATTTTCACACCCTGCTGTTGGCAAACTACCCTCAGGCAATCAGTACTCTCTGGCTGAACTCACAAGGCTACAAACCCAGCATGCATTCACGTATACTGTAGCCCTTACACCTTGTAGCCTTACTACAGACCACTTCTGCTAAGGCAGGCAGCTTCTTGCTTGCAGTATCTTGAGGGAAAACAAAAAGAAGCAACCCATTCTTTTCTTTCTTTTTTTTTTTTTTTTTTTTTTTTTTGAGAGAGCCTTTGAGCTTCCTGAGTACTGGGATTATAGTGGTATGCTATGCTGTTAATGAGGTACAGGACCTCATGCATGCTTAGGCAGTCACTCTACCAACTAAGCAATATCCCATCCATACTCAGCCCCAATTTTGTATTGAATGCTACAGCATGTGGCCAGAGGACTACCTTGGGTGGTCCCCCATCTTGAGACATTGTTTTGCATATGAGGCATGTTATCTGACACCCTGGCTGCTAGGGATTCTTGGTCCCAGTTTCTCATCTCACATAGGAACACTGGGGTTACAGATGCCCAGCTTTATATCTGAACTCAGTCTCTTATACTGTATTTCGTTCACTGAGCCATCTCCCTTACTCTGAGTTCTTTGGTAATATGTCAAGGTTATGATAGTTCTTAGATTTCCAATCTTAAAATATTTGTCTTCACAGTTCCCCATTAAAGAGAAATTTGAAAAAAAAATTTCCCCCCCTTCCAAGACAGGGTTTCTTTGTGGCTTTGGAGCCTGTCCTGGAATTAGCTCTTGTAGACCAGGCTGGTCTCGAACTCACAGAGATCCCCCTGCCTCTGCCTCCTGAGTGCTGGGACTAAAGGCATGCACCACCACAGCCTGGCAATAATTTGAAATTCTATACTGCTTACCTCTTAAAGAACAGTGACTGGGAATGAATCAACTGCTTCACTCAAGAGCATATGGTATTTCTTATCTTCATGAAATACAACCTTCAAAACATCTACCCAGCAAGTCTCCTAACCTAACAGAATGCCGGGGCTGCCATCCCAGCTTTGCCAGACACACACAGTCCAGCATGTCAAGAAAAGCATGACACATGACTTTCTGTATCTTTTTTTTTTTATTATTTTTATCATTTTTCCTTCCTTTTTTTTTTAAGCACTAGTCTGTGCTTTGCGAACAGAATCAAGACATTAACAAAGATCAGCTTCTCTGAAGAAAAGCATTTCTATAGAACAAAGACAGCTACATGTTCGCTGCCATTACACAGCTCAAAGCAGGAAAAGAAAATATTTACAAAATACAAGTTTTTTTAAATTTTTGTCTTTTTTGTTTTTTTTTTTTTTACAATGCTAAAAGGGTTATTCAGAATTTTCAACCTTATAAATAGAAGAAGC